GGTGTAACGGCAGATTTATCAAAATTCACACTCTGAAGTATAGTTTTTCCACTGCTTCTGAAGCATCTCAAAGACTTTGAACTGGGCGGGATGTGTCCAGTAGCTCCGAAACAGTAATAAATCGACTTGTAGAAATGAGTCTACAGCCCAGATGTCCAGCAACGGATCCAGTGCTTCCCAGATACCATGCTTAGAGTTTGCAAAGGGCACCGACATAGACAGAAACTGTAATAAAGGAATGCTATGTTTTCGGACGAGTCCCAGTATTCTCTCCATTCACCACAAGGACATCGAGAAACTCAAGCAGCTGTAGAGCTCTACGGCCAATACAACATTGCCAGAAGAAGGTCGTTCGGAGGTGGTTCAGTTATGATGTGGTGTGGAGTGGAATATCTTTAGAAGCAAAAACGGAGTTACACGTTTTTAATAGGCCGTCACATAAAGCAGAAATCCTTGAGGAATATGTGGTACCATTTGCATCTGCTATCGGCGAACAATTTTTGTTTATGCAAGACCAACTCCGCCACCAGTGTTATGCAGTACCCTCTACACGTTAATATTTACACTGAAGGCCAGCCCGTATCCCTGATTTGAACCCCATTGAGTACTTTTGGTACGAGCACGGACGTTGGGTAGAACGAAGAAATAACCCTCCTACAACCTTAGCTGAGCTGAGTGTTACGTTAGTTGAGATTTGGGATGAAATTCTTCAAGAAGTGGTTTAAGGCTTAATTATGAGCATGCTTAGAAGATTAGAGTCTGTAATAAGAGCTAGAGGAGGTACTTTTTTTCACACTAACCAAATGTTTAAAAAATACCTAAATTATAAAAAATATTGGTGTTCATATTACTGAAAAGGCAAAAACATGAAAAAATTTCAAATTGCGCCCCTTTTTGTGCAGCAGTGTACATCAGATTTTTTCTATTGACATCAATGGAATTATATTTCATGTATTACTTCATTTAAATACACAGAGTTGTTAGAAGAAATAATGGAGCTAGTGTGAGCTTATCAATTCACTGTTTGACAAATATTCGCGTCTGCGAAGTTACATATCAATAATTAATTTTATCCTGCCTGATAACTGGAAAAAACACTGCACATACGATGTAAATTATCTCGGAAAATTACCAATTGGCTTTAAAAACTGAAACTTCGGGAACTATTGAGATTTTAAACGCGTTTATTTTATTGGAAATAATTCCAACATACAAATAACCATCAAGGATGGTTATCTACAAAGCATAATACAAAATAAAAAAAGATTGAACAATACAGAAAAAACATAATGCAGCCAAGGTCCGATACCTATAATTTTGAGCCAACGTCCCAGAGAACAACAGCCTTCCGTTGTGCTCGGCAACAATGAAATTTTTTATGGCTGGAGAAACCTCCGGAGCTGTGAACGTCGGAAAGAAAGTGAAACACCTCTTCAAATTGACAAAGGTCCGTTTAGGACAGAGTGAAAACATCATGAATAATGGAGATGCAAGAAAGCGCGTCGTAAGGTCAGTGGGTAGCCCTTAAAAGGACATATCCTCCATTTTAAAACAGGAAACGGGAATATTGACAGATCATCATACAAATATTGACAGACTTCACTCAAAACCCGACCGACCATAATTATAAATATCTCGTTCTGAAAGGATTCAAAACAACTCGCTAAAACAAGTTCAAAGACTATCTGCGAAATGTCGAATTGAAATACAACGGGGTTAAAAGTTTAAGGGGTCTCGTTACTTATATTTTAAGTTTATATTTATATTCTTCTCTTCTTTTATTCTCGGTTGTTGTTAAAGATCTTTTTTATATATGGGTTACTGCAGGTATAAAACAGCCATATTATTCTTTTACTTGATTGAGAAATCGATTTGGAACACCTGGCTGCCCTCTTCAGTCTCATTTTCTTTGTGGACCCAAACATTTGTTAAAATTTCGAGTATGGGATGAACCATATCCCTCCTTCGGGAAGTCCTCCATCCGATCTAAATATCAGATGGTTCGAATCACTTTTTCAACTGTCCTCTCCATCGACACACAGTGTTTTTAACTTGTGGTTTTTGCGGTGATACGGAGGATGAATACCCAAAACCACACGAAACTCACGATTTTCCCGTTTCTGAGGATGATTGGGATCACTGTCCTAATTTCAACCTCGTTCCGTCTGTGTAAATATTATGAATTGCTTTCGGCATTTTTCTTAAATAATATAAATATAGTCACCGTTGATATTCAATGAAGGATATATATTATTGATTTAGAATTAATCAACTGTTGAATACAATCCGCGATTAGAATAAAACTAGTTTCCTGGAATACACTATCAACAGCTAAACCGCAAGGCCTTAAAATAATAAAATGATTTATACATACTTCTTTGATATAATAGTACTTAGATAAAGTTATCTTAATAAAATTTAAACAAATTTTACCAGCCAGATGCTGTTGTTTTTCTTTTCTTTTATTTATAAATGTATCGGGAGTACAACAAACTATGACAGCCTGCTAGTGACAACATGCGTGCATACTGCGCTTTTATTTTTCTAGTACCAACCATTCACTCTAATAAATACAAATTTTTATTTTGGAAATGTTTACATCATGGTTAAAACAAAGCCGTTCATATGTATACAAACAGAAAACGAAACAGAAGGGGGAGTCAGACGCCTCCGAAATCGATTTCTAAATAAAATTATGATAATCCGGTTGTATTCTTGTTGTTGACCACATAAAATTTACAGATATGAACAAAAACCGGGAAGAGAGAAATCCCTTCCTTATCCGTGATTGTTAACATAAAATAATAATATTAAATTAATAATATCAATTATATCCAGATAAGCTCTATTATCCCTTATTATAACTAATAGTTGGCTAATTTTTATCCACACGACTGATAATTTGATACATTTTTTTCTTTATGCCCCTTTTACTAGACTCCATATCCCCGAGATAGTTGACTACATTTTCTTCTAGCATCTCTGTGACCCATGGCTTCATTTTCCCCTTAGTTGATAAATTTTGGTCCAAACGCATCTGATAATTGACTGATTTTTCCTTATACCTCTTATAATAGTTACCATTGTATCCTGACACATCTGATGATGACTCAATTTTCTTCTAACTTATTCTATCTATTAATTGATTCATTTGTAACCAAACAAATCAAATAATTGATTCTATTTTCTCTCTGTAGCCTAGACTCGATATATCCCAACACCTCTGATACTCCATTTTCTCCTAGCACATCCGACTGTTCACTCTATTTTTTCCTAACACTTCAGATAGGTGAACTCAATTTTCTTCAAAAAACCTAACATCTTTTTTTTTCTTTTTTTTATTAATTTTGAATTCGTCAGTGAATTATTTTTATTTATGATATGTTTACAGGCAATCGCACAGTTTGATACATAATAATAGTTAACTCGTTTTTCTCCTAACTAAACTGTTAATTGATTTTTTTTTATGGCCCTTACAATAAATTCACTATCACTTTTGACCGTTGGCTGTATTTTCTTTAACTACTCACCCTTGATCTATGGCGTTCCATTTTTCTTTAACATATTTCATAGTTGACTCATTTTTATGCTAACATATCTCATGTTTTACTTTATCTTCTCCTTCTATCCTTTATAATAGACACCTTTATCTCCTAAAAACCTGATACTTGCTCTATTGTCTCCTACCACATTTGACAGTTCGCTCTATTTTTTCCTAACACATATGATAGTAGATTATCTTTTCTCATTACGCCCCTAATACTAAACTCCCTTATCTCCTAACTCCCCTTATAATTTATTCAATTTTCTTCAAACCCACCTAACTCACCCTTTGTTTTGTTTCTTCTTTTTGAAAATGCTTCAGTGAATTTTATTTATATGGGCACTCTCAACACGACACGCAAGGATGGCACAATTACACAGAAGACAAACAAACACTTTGATCCCTGAAGATGATCTCAATAAAAGATCGAAACGTTGGCACGATAAAGAAAATGTTTTTCTGAAACCTACATCACACCCGACCGCATCTCACGATATCTGAATAACTATTTATTTATTTACTATACATTTACTGGCGAACGCACAGCTTTACATTTGTACGCAGTCATACCATCATACGATAGCCTTAGGTAAAAGTTACATATTCAATTCTAGAAAAAAAAGTAGAATGTGTTACGCAGTTTTAAATGTCTGAGTTTATTCTATATTTTAAAATTTAAAATGTCACCATATTGATTCTCATCGTTTGGTAACTTGAATCGCTGGGCATGATGGCAAGACTTTTGTTTTCTCGATACAAAAACAGACGCACTAATTTCTAATGGACTGTTAACAATAACGGTTCGTTTAAAAATAGGCAGACGGCGACTTTAAAATCACGAGCAAAATGTAACAGGGTCACAGACTGGAGTGTGTTAAGGTGTCCAGCCTTGAGCAATTCTTAGATTTTGACATGCAATAGCAAATAACAAAACTAATCGAAATACAAAACCAATCATTTTAGCTCCAATCCATAAGTTTCACAGAGTTGTGAAAACTAAATCAAAATGTCATATTCAATATTAAAAGGAAAGCTAAATTACTCAGAATAAATTTGGTGACAGTTGAAAGCCGATATGAAATTAAAACTAATTGTGAAAATAAATTAACAAAAGGTTTACAACAGACCTGATTGGAACAATCGGCTCACCCGTGTTGTGTCAACATATTTTATCGTCACCATATCTTCAAAGAAGCGATTTCGAATTATTTTTACAGATCAAAATAAACTAAACCTGTTATAACAAGACTACCGAAGCACAATGGAATGTGTATTACCGTTGTTGAAAAAAAAAAAAAAATACAACAAAGCGTGGGAAAAAATTTAAAAGGGGTAAAGGGAAGCCCGGAGAGTCTGGAGGCGCTCACGCATGCAGCAACGTGTCGAATTAGATTCAGTGTATACATTAGATCTATGTATACACCGCTGGCTGACCAGAAAATAAGAGAAAACCTACTTGATTTCTGCTATTCCTGACTCTGGGTTTAGCATTGGATATCCATGTGTGGTGGTCGGAGACGGGAGACCAAATCCCGGCGCCGGTGGTGGGCGGGGGCGGGGGCAAAATGTACAGCATCACAGGGGGCGGAGGAACCACGGAGACGGGGATGATGAACCACGGAGACGGATCGTGGGCAGGAGGCCTGGCCTGCCAGCGGACTGAAGGGGCGACTCGCTGCGTTCCCATGATCGGCCCCTCTCCACAACCCGCGACCCCCACCCGACCACCGCCCTTCAGCCCTCGCCACAGGGTCCGTCCGTACTCGTACACGCCCTGATGCATGCTCCCCTCCCGCATACACCGAATGTAAATACCAACAATAGTCGTATTGACGAGTGGATCGGTTATCGACAATCTTTCTTTTCTTTTTCTTCTTTTTCATGAACGGAAGATGTTTTCGTCCCATTGAACTGGTGAAAAGAATAGTGACCCTATAAAAAATGGAATGCTAACAAACCCATTCTCTGGTACTCGTAGAAATTGCCTTTAAACAAAAAATTCTAAAGGGCATCGAAATGCACTCTAAAATTTAAAAGTCTCCAAGGTCGTTATACAATTTACAGAAAGAAAAACATATGGGCGAATTACAAATTAAAAGCGTTTCGTTGTTTGTTTATCAACGAAATTTATTTCGTTTGCTCAGCTATGCCAGGATTCCTACGAGAGGTATTCGAAGTAGAACGAATTCGTGAAGAGCCTGGGGTCGAAAAACGCCTTCTCCCACAGTATCTTCGCAATCGGTTTTTAAAGTAAGCATGAGTCGTATTGTAACTGTCTTGTGGAAATACACTCTGAAAATTCAGTTTCTTTGGAAATAAACGGAACAACGCACCATGGCAACATTGCTCATACACCCAACATAACTCAAACGTTTAGTAAATGCATATAACCACACAAAAAAATTCCTCTGATATTTTAGATGTTAGGGTTCTCCCTGCAACAAAATTGCTTCATTTGTCACGAGATGACGAGTAACTCACTTAGCTCCAATTGCTGTAGCACGGAATGGGCTTCTTCACCGGTACCTTGTTTTGACCACATAGTGATATTATCGGCAAAGTCGGCTGTTAAGTAAAAGTAAAAGCGTATTTGTCGGGAAATTGTTTAAAAAGAGAAGGAAGAGAAAATGCCCCAGTATACTGCCTTGAGGTAATCCCGATTTAATTCCACATAATTGTGAATAGACTTCTCCATAGCGCACTGAAAATCTTCGATTCATAAGGTAAAATTGTACTATACGGTACAGGGAGCCATCAAGGTGGAGGCTTTAGTTTTATTAATAAAACTTTTTCAGAGCCTATGAGCAGCCCTAAACAAACTTTATTTTCCTCGTACGTGTCTAATATATCGTTAGCAACCCTGTGGAGTTGATGAGGACAGTGTGGTGTATGGATTTGAATCCGAATTGGCTGTCATCATTCTGGCCCGCATTTTCTACAAGACGGAACAACCACTGAAGAACCACAGGCTAAAATAGTGAGATCAGAATGATCGAAAAGGACCGAACTGCAGGTCTATTTCACATTTTGACCCACTAGAAAGGACATACCGAGATAAATTCTAAATGATTACTCGTGCTTGCCAATTTCAGGTTAAAAGGTTCACAGCTTATCCTCCTCGAGGTTCGATCCTCGATTTAAGGTCTTGGGGTTCAGTTATTTTTTCAAAAACCGTACTTTAATCGTTTTCGATCATACTATCTCACAATTTTAGTCTGTGGTTCTTCAGTGGTAGTTCCGTCTTGTAGAAAATGCCGGGGAAGAATGATGGAAAACATTTTTTGTGTTTAAATTCATTGTCTAAATAATTGAGCTATTCGAGCTTAATCTGTCGGACAATGTTGTTTTTCTTGATATTCTAGTCTGTCAGACGCGTAGTCATCAGTGATATTTTGTCAACCATTAGCCAAAATAACATGCAAACTATCATTGTAAGACCTCTACTCATTCTGATCTGCACGCTTATCAACATTTCGCCATAAACAATGGTTCGGTCTGTCTGTTATTCTGTTAAATCAGATTCTGAAATGACAAAAACAACTCATAAAAACGTCACCATTATCTTTACGAACACTTAACTCAAAACCCTAAAAATTTAATCTGAGTATACAACATAAGATAAACTACGAACCAGTTATTATTATAAATTTATAATAAAACGTCGTATGAATTTACCAAATAATCAAGCAATAATCATCATATACTTCATTAGTTTTCTAAAAGAAATGAACTTCATTTTTAAATTTATGGATCAAACTCAAGTATTGGCCTACTATCAAAGGCACAAATGACCTGTAACCTAACGTAATTTCTGGAGAAATATTTTTGCTTTTCCATGATATAAGATCTAGTCTGGGAAAAGGCCTAATCGTAAATAATTTTAATCAAATGTAAGTGTCCTGTTTATTGTCAACCCTGCTAGTTACAACTGTCCTTCCGAAACTATCAAAGATGAAATTGACAAATCGGTCCAGTTAACAAAAACCTCTCTACACTCTTAACTTATTAAGCATGTTGATAAAATTTAAAAAATAAATTTTCTTGCAATAAAAAAAGAGCGTTGGGCTAGATCTCACAACCAATATTTTGCCAGACCAACAAAACAGTAAAGAACCAACACACAATAAAATAATAATAAACACACTGTAAAATTCATTAAGAATTGTCACTAAATGTAATTCTTTATGTTTACAAAAGTTATTAACCCTATTTACCTGTTGATGTTTACTAACAATACAATTATGTAAATTGTAGACATCTAGAAAACGCTAAAATTTATCTGTGTCCCTAATGCAAACAGCAACAAAAAAAACTACAATCGGGTTTTGAAATATGATAAAAGGACTTCGCAATATATTGATGCAATTATAAAAAACCTATGGTTCCTGTGTTGACACAATTAAGTAAAAATAAAAACAGAACTTCTTGTGGCAAAAACCAGATCCCTATATTTGCCGGTATTAACAAAATATAATGCTATTAAACCAGTTTAAATTAATTGAAAGTAAAAACTAATTTCAAGATGATGTTTCAAAAGGGGTCGACGGGGCTTGACAACCATATTTCAACTTAAGCATAAAGCATACCAGTGGACAGGTATAAAACCAGAACAATATTAAATTTTTCACGGAATAAACCTATCAAATAGACCCTGAATATTGAGTAAGTTTTACATTAAAACGGTAATAAGAAAAACAGAAAAGACAAAACAAAACAGAACTTGTCATCCGTTTCTTTGTTTACAACCGTATCGTACAGACGGATTTCCAACCTCCGCTGTATTCTTTATCCGATTGGTAAAGCATTCGAACCCGATGCTTTTTGAAACAGGCTATCGTTCAAGTAAATAATAACAAATCGGGGCAAAACGAGAGGAAACATTTTTGAAAAACTTAAAATCTGTGTACTTACAGAACTTTGAGGGGAATTGCCAATGCTCGGAGATCTCTGAACAGTCACAAGGGCCATTCCCCTTCAAACGGCTGATACACCTTCACTTCACATAAGAGACAGCACCATTTCGATTACCAGGGGGACGAGCATAAATTTAAAAATGTTCACATATTTAAAAACTGTACAAAACAACCTATTCGTCATTGGCCATGTTTGACTCCACTGCTTGCACAATTGGACAGTTTCGTCGTGGCGAGAGATAGGCGGATCTCGGAGACTGTTTTTTTTTTCATATCGGTTGCTGGTCAATTATACAAGTTAATGTTTCGATTGCAAATGATGTTCAAAACAACAAAAACTTCAAACAATCCATCGACGTATGCTGATCCTCTCTGTACAAATAATAAATTTGAACAATGGTTGGTAATCGATGCGGCCACATTGACCGCGAACTTTCAAGTCACCATGAGAATGGAGGGCGGATCTATGCACTGACATTTCATATTAATTTTACTTTAGATTGCAGTGTAGTAAATTTTCTCTTATTACAAATACAGTTTCCTCAGGTACAACTCGACTAAATACTATATCGTTACTAAACCTAGGAAACCAGACCACAATGAATCTTCCTACCATCCAATTGGCCTACTCCCTCTCTTCTTAAAAATATTCGAGAAGTTCCTCATAAAACGATTGATCCCTACATTTAATTTCCTCCCAAACCACCGATTTGGCTTTCGCTCTTAACACTCTATAACCCAGCAGTCTTTCACACTGTGGACCACATATCCTTTCAGTGTAAAGAATATTGTATGGGGTCCTTTCTAAATGGGTCGCAAGTGTCGAGGGTCTCCTATACAAACTGAACCACATCAACACTTTATACCTCCGCTTCTACCTCACAGGACAATTTTTCGAAATTTTTCACGTAGGATTGTGGGCCTACACTGACTACTCAGTGCCACAGGGCAGTATGCTTTGACCAATTAGGCTGTACCACTTGCATTCTTTGCCAATGACACATCCTGATTCTGATCTTACAATTGCTTCATGAGAGCTCCAAGCACACATCTAACAAATAGCAAATTTTGAAGGGTAATGATTAATGAAAACAAATGTACCCATGTTACATTTACCTTCAGAACCCCTCAAGCAATATTCCTCAAAAACATTCCTCTCCCTAAAACTGACTCCATACACTATCTTGGATCTTATATTGACTTGCATTTAATCTAAACTGACACAGAAAGAAAAACACAGGAACTAAAAAGTTGTTTCGGACTACTCTATATACTATTTCAACACAAATCTAACATGTCGCCAACCAAAAAACCAGCTGACACTCTACAAAACTACTGAAACCGATTTGGACATATGTACTGGAACTATGTAACACCACTAAACCTACCAATATCAAAAGAATTCGTTCTTGCCAACCCAAAGTCCTCAGAATCATCCTACTATGTTTCCAATACACCCTCCACAAAGACCACAAAATACCCTTTGTAAATAAATTAATCCCTTTCAAATTTTCCAGGTTCAACAAAAAACGTCCACTCACCCCAACCATTAGCCCAACATAATCCATCTAAAATCCTGTCAGACGACAAACCAGAGAGGGCCATGAGACATCCTTGTCAAGGAGTAGTCCTAGTATAAAGAGGGAGGAAGAACAAAGGTTATTAACTCTTGTCAAGACAATTTTGTGTCAATGTTATTTGGAAAATATAACAAAACACTACATAATGTACAGATGGTAATAAATATTATTATTATTATTTTTATTTATTTAATTTTTTTTTTTGGCCTTATGATCTATGCATATTAACCATGGTGACAAATTCTTGTATGTGTTCATTCATATTTGGGGGGGGGGGGGGTTTCGTGAAAAAAGGGCCAGAGGTGACGGTGGGAATCGAACCCACGACCGCGGCGTCTATGAGCCGAGAGTCTCTCACGCTAACCACTCAGCTACCGCGGTCCCCGAAATAAATATTATTGTTTAAAAAGAAAAAAAAATCCAGTACTATGTACCTGGGATTTTCTATGATCAAAAAATTATTCATGGATGTTTTTGGACAATTTTTTCAAATACCATCTCAAAACCGATACTCCTAAGTCATCCAAAGCACTTCCTCTTCTATTTCAATCAAGAAAGCTATAATTTTCAATATTTGTTGCCTTACTGGACCTTTCGAATCCACCTTCGTACCCTATGACCTACGTCATAATATGGATATTTTATATAAAAACAATAAATTCTTTGCTTTTTCTAATTAGTAGGTTTGCATCTAACATTTAGATCTACATAGATTGAAAATATACAAAATATAAGGATTTTAAGAGTGGCTAATTAATAATTTTTAATTTAATAAATCATTAACAAAGTTTTGCCTAAAACATTTGTTTTATTCAGAGAACAACAAAATAACAATTAACAGCTATGAAGTAACACAGAACACTAATTGCCAGTCAATAAACCTGGAGATTAAATTATTTGCAAATATATATCCAACAAAATATAAATAAGTTCAGAATAAATATTTATAGGTGAAACTTCAGTAAGGATTATTGGTATATTTTTATTAAAAATTATTAAATAGCTACTCTTAAAAGCCGTATATAACTTTTGTGTATTTTCTATTAGGGGTGCAAAACTAATTCAATTCTAATGTTTTAGGGTGTCAATTTTTATGTAATGCGTCTGTTGAACCTTTATTTTATAAATTAACAACAAATTTCTTACCTTGTGTATAGCTATTTACATGTTTTGACAATAATCATGGCCCAGTTTTCTTAATATTTGATTTGTTATTTATCAAACTTAAATTAAATTAATTTTTAAATATCATGTATTGGTTTACTTATTATTATACTATTTAGAAATTAGGAACAACGATAAGGAATTAAATGGACTTATTTCAATCACAAAAATACTAAGCATTGAAAGTTTTACAGAAATTATACAAATAAAAGTAAACTTTAAATGTAACTTACAATATCTATGCAATATATAACGAGCAATGTTACAATCTTTTTTCAGACAAACCAGCAAAAAAGTCAGGGCAAGGTTATGGTGATTATGCTAATTTCACTATCTTGCAGACCTCTGCAATATTTTTAAAAAAAATTAATTAATTACATTTTTGTGTGGTGATTAGTGACCGTTAATCGATAATTATTCAGAAATCGCATCTCACGATTTCTGAATAATTAATTACATTCATAGTTTCAAAAAAATATCAAAAAGTGTAAAAATGAAATTTTAGTTTTATGATTACTGATTTATATAATCTCAAATTTGCACATGCATCACATACACATATGGACAGAGTTGAGTCCAGCACTTCTTATAATCCATCAGTTCCAGCTTTTGTAATTTACAATAAATTACCAGTACATCTTGAGATTACCTGTCCTGGGCAATATAGGGTCAGACCTCGTTCTTATCTGTCCAGCCACCAAGGTTGGGCTCCAGGGGCTATCAACAGCTAGGTCATATCAATCAATTCCTAAATCCAAACACACTCACTCTTAAATACATTCTTTCCTATTTAGTCAATATCCCTCCATCAACCTTTACACATATTACTACTAACTAGTAACTTAATTAGGGTTAATGAGTACTCAATATTCCACCCACTACTGGCCCTCTCACACTACACATTCATGCCAATAAATACTTTCACTCTCCACACACTAAGGGACACAAAAATATCATCGAGCAACCCTTCTTTACCAGACATATGCACGTGCTTTAGTCCAAAAATAAATGACCAACTTCACAAGTCGTCATCCTGTCCTTAAATGGATGAGAATATCCTTCGAGGGACCTAGCGACAGTAATCTTGATTCATGAGAGCTCTGGCCCACTAATGGCGTCACTGTCTTTTAATCATGTTTTTTTTTTTTAATGCATTTTTACCATCAGAGGGCCGGATCGCAGTGGTTGGGACGTCTCGGCATTATCCACATTATCTGTGTTATTGTTAACCTTTATGGTAATTATCTTAAATCTTAATAATTTTTCAGCAGATGGAATAATATTCCATTTTGCATCTTCTTTGGTATCTATAATTTACTTGTTATTTCAATACGAGATTGTTATTATCTTTCAAACTAAACAGTTTTAAACTATGGTTACGGTACAACAAAGAAATAAAAGACACCTTTTTGATAAACGTTTATTTTGTAAATGCATAAAATATACATTAAAATAGTAGTTAAACTATTGAATAGTATAAAATAATAGATACAACACTATTATAACATTTGAGTTATCAGTCTTAAAACTTTTTTTGTCTTAAATAAAGTACATAAAATTATACATTTATAATAGTTAAATTTAAAATTTAACTTAAAAAAATTAAGTAGACTGATATAAAAATTTAATAGTTGTACTGTACTACAACCATGTCCCTTAATACTGCACCACGAATGACTATTATCACAATTTTAACTAAACTCTAATTGGAAATGATTTATTAGTTAACAAATTGACATGTTTGCACAAATAGGTTTTTTCTTGTGTGCATGCCAAAAATAAGTACATATGAAAACAAAGTAGATAGAATTGCGTGCGCCAAACTAAAATGCTCTGAAATGCAATAGATTTGCCACAGCCAAATTGAGAATAAAAATTAAATATCATTTAAGTACTACAATAGTTATACGAAATCTCAGATCGCTTAGGAGAAAAAGAAATACATAAACAGAAAATAAATAGATTTTTGGAATATACAATCTTTGATCAATAAACTATGTAGGACCGAATGAAGCGATGTCTTGACACCACGCTGGCCCTTGATGAATAAAAACAAAAAGGAAGAAAGAACAAAAAGGTGAAAGAAATAAAATAAAATAGTGGTGGTATAGAGAGAAAAAATTGCCATAAATGCCCAACCATCATGAATGGAATCACCCTACCTGTTGCCATTTCAGAGCCATTAGGTAGTGCTAGTTTTAGATAAAAATGTACCTCCTTTCTAGGAAACAACAACAAAAGGAACAACATCTGCACCCATTGGCTCATTAATCGATTACCTTTCTTTTTGTAGATAGACTTTCCTTTGATGAAATCAATTGGCTTTTGAGCTTCTTGTATGATGTGAACCTCTCCAGTGCATATTCCTTAAATAGATAGAAAAACAAATGTCAACATAACTTGAAACAAGTACAAGCACTGATTGTATTTATTCAGACTTACCCAATAACCAAAAGGAATTGAAGAAGTCCTGGCGTTCACAATGGACCACAAACACCAAAGCAAATGCGAAGCCAATGTATAATGCTTCACTTCGGTAATCATTGTCTTGACGTTGTTAACTTCCGGTTTATTTATTTTACCATCAGGGTACATCGTTGACAAATACTTCTCTATAAATAATCGCTGTTAAACAAAAATTAAAAAGTAGATTAGAAAGGAGTACAGAAATGAAAAAAGTCTAAAATCAAAAATTATGACAAAAAAGGGAGAAGGGAAGGGTTATTATGAATATGAGTAAGTACATTGAAATTGATTGATCCTATTGAATGATTGATCCCTCAAACCAATTTTTTGAAAAGATAAAATGAACAATGTTCTAAATGATTAAGTTAAATGATCATGAAATGCTGAGTTATTTCAAAAACGATTGTTTCACAGTGACTTTAATATTGATTAGACTTTTAATCACAAATACCTTTTATATAAATATCAAATTGAAAAAAAATCCTAACAGATAAAAGAATTTAAAGAGGCAGCTGTAATTTTTAAAGAATTATCATGTACATAATGGAGAAAAATAAGTTCATATTTGAATAAAATGAGTGCAGGTAATCTTATTGCAATGGTAAACGACTGATTGATTCCATAATATCCAACTATATTCTACTGCAATTAGTTTAACTGCACCGAGAATGTTGACAATGTCAAACAATAATAACAACTGTTTATTTTTCTCCATTATAATAGTACTTTAAAGCCAATGAAATTTACCGTTGACACTCAACGTCTTATCACTAGTCTCGAATGTTGTAAGTTGGTGATGGCCACTCTCGCTTCAAGTGGTTGAAGGGAGACCCTTGTCCTCCACAGGTTACCGATAAAAAAAAAACACACAAACGCAAACACAAATCGGAGCGCTCCTCACGACCCAAAGCACCAAACATTTTATATTATGATGGTAAACAGAATTGCATTAATTGGGAAACTAATCTGTCAAGTTGATAAGTGCACATGTTCCAAATAAATTTTTTTATCTGTCTTACAACAATTTATTTGATTCAATAGCAAAAGATGGAACATGAGCAAACCTTACTTTCAAACAATACAAATCAACTGAAATCTATCAAAAACCGACAAATAAAACTCTAACTGCTTTTGTGATTTTTTTTTTTTAAACGCTATTATTTGCACTGCTTTTAAAAATTTGGCAATACTGTACCTCAATTAGAATTATTAAATAACAACATCAGTCTATTTAAAAAAAGAAAGAAAAAAAATAGTTAACGTTAATGTAAATGATTGATATTGTCATTTACCATAGAATTGTGCGATAATTTCTGCTAATTATGATTTTATTTTTAAAGTTTGATGTTCATGTATGTAATATTATCCAATTGATTAGAAAAAAATTATCAAATTATCGCAAAATCCTTTGTTGTTATTATAACTGAATTTCCAGATTGAGGAACAGGATTAGCCTTATTTTATTTTAAAGAAGTTCAATATTGGCTAACACTGAACGAGCAGTTACAGATTTTCTTACGGTGTGAAATTTTGACAACTAATAAATTTTAACAAAAAAAAAGTAACTTACCAACAGGACTTAACCCTGTGAACAATCTTTATAAACGTGAAAGAAAAAATAAAATATTATGAAAGAAACAAAGACAATTTTGTATGTTGTTACTGTATAACGTATTCATTCATTGTTTCAATCATAACAAAATAAAATAGAGCAAAGAGTTTGTTTAAATTAAATGTGTTTGCCCAATCAAAAATCAAACAAAAACAAAACAAACGAAAAAAGAAAATAATAGAAAGTACTTACAATGTACACAAGAATATACATGTGAGCACATTCCCATATACAACTTTCTAAAGAAAATCATTATAAAACATATCTCACCATGCTATCCTCTGATGGGTAATTTTCACTATTTGCTGTGTAATGCGGGTATTCCTTGTTAGTGTAATCGTAGGTCCATTCGATAAAATGATTTGCAAGATCGAATCCTCTGTAATTATATGAACAGTACTCAAAATCGATAAAGACTAGGCTTTGAGACCCATCACTCTTCTGCTGCAATAGAATATTTCCTCCTTGCAAATCGTTGTGACAAAAAACAGCTGGTGATGGAATCTTGCTCAAGTGGTTCCTAAAAATAATTAAACGTTGAAATTTGAATTAAAATGTAATAAAAATTAAAAACTCACTTTAACCACTGCAGTTCAGTCTTAAAATCTATACTGTTTAACACTGTGTCTGGGCCTTCCATTGGTTCAGCTTGTTCTATGGTTACAAGCCACCTAAAAAGAAAATTGCATAAAAATAAATATACTCATAACAATACTAGAATACGAAAGTATAAAATACCTAGACATTGTGTCCCAGATCCACTGGGGCTGTTTATTAATAGGAATGTTCATCAAATGAACAGCAGCCAGCTTTTCAGCGATGGCAAGAGACATTTCCGGATCTCTCAACTGCTGGGAAGTCAAAGAATTGCTCTACAACAAAAAATCGTTAAGAAAATTGTTATTGAAACGAACCAAAATCCCCGATCAGAACTACATACTTGAATGAATTCTTCAATCCTTCCACCAGGAAAAACACCGTAAAGCTTGGGACCGATTTTCCTCTCAGAGAGCAACGTGAATATAACGGATTCTGTTATCAGACTTTCAATTGCTCCTTCTCCGTGAGTCTGGCCGTAAACACGTAAAAGTACTTGTTCAGGCTTAACACCTTCAAATCCATCAAGTTTGACATGGTACAAGAAGTTGCTCAATCCACCACTGTTAAAAACGATTTCTTGTTAATTAGGAATTAATGTTAATTTACACGTAAAACAAGGTCATCAAAATCTTTAGTAATCTGTACTCCATAAAAAATCAAAAGCCCCTTACCAATATAATTTTCTTTACTTGTTATATTTGATGAAAAGAGGGCAATTTCTATTTTAATTTGAACTCAGTGCTAGTGTAAAGTAAAGGCAGAAAAACAAAAACAAGTAGTTTGTTTAATTTTTTTAATCTCAGTCCAAAGGTCGCATTGTGTAAAACGTCATAGAATAAATTCCCAGAGGACAAACACTAGTCTCATAGAGTTAAAAGATAACGGAGTAAATGAATGACTCAAAGAGTCATGTGATCTTTTTTTAAGAATGAATTTTTTTTTATCTCATTTACACATTTTTTTTATTTTTGTCGTGTGTAAAGCAAACAATTTGAACAAAAACAAATAAAAACAATTTAAAAAAAATGAATGACCGAGACTAAAGAAATAAAATAACGAGTATACATATTTCAGACCAATGAATGTTAGTAAAGCGTGGAATTTGTGCATTTTGAACATCTGACATGATTTAATCGTAGGAAAAATAAATATATTAAAATAGCTATAAAATTGTTCAAACTAAAATCCCAGACAAAAAATAAATAAATGTTTGAACACAAACGAGCTTTCCTCACACTCAGTAAGCAGACCAAATAAATTAATCTGATTCTGAATAAACTGATAAGCATTACTCATAGCATTTCAGGAACAAATACTGCTTATAATTTTGATCGGTCATTCTTATCTAACAATAAAAGTTTTGTTGTTTGATTAATGGTAGAAAAAGGTTCTTTACTATTGTTGTAATGTTTTAAACTTAGATTAAAATGAGAAATTATCTCTCAATTCCCTAAGAAATGGTTGATCCTTCGGACAGAACAATTGACATAAATCATCATAAAACTAATATTTTTCCTTGATATATCAAAAACGTATAAAAATTAAGGAAAACATGCATAAATTACGATTAATTATTGCAAATTAAGAAAATAGTTCCCCTATTCTTAATATACTTTTTTTAAGAATTATTATATTTCAGATTTAAAACCAGGATTAAACTTACTTTGTGATGGGATCAACATTTGACCAAAATGAATGTAATCAATATCAGATTTTCAATCAGATGATGCAACATTTCTACCATTTTACATGTACGAGAAAAATGTTGAAAATTGCCGAGAAAGTTAATCATAGAAGTTTATCAATTATACTTGAGCAATGTTTATCTTAGAGAAAATTAAATTCATATTTTATCTGCTAATGAAATAAATTGAGTAGAACAAAAATATATTACTTTTCCCAAGTAGAATTTAAACTTTTTCAAGATCAAATTAACCAATTCTAGTTGGTAAAAAGATCAAATTAATCCGGACACAGTTAAATTCTATTTGGTAAAAAAGCTTGAATTGGTATGGACCAAGTGTAATTCTATTTGGAAAAAATGTAATTATGAACAGAATAGTATAATATTGTTCAATTCAACCAAGAAAATGTTAGATTTCTAAAAATGTTCAATTTGGTATTAAAAAAAATTACTTCACTTTGAGCATGAAAAAGTTCAGACTCAATTTGGAAAAAAAAGTTTAAATTGATCTGGACAATGTTTAATACGGATGGAAAAGTTGTTTGAAAATTTTCAATTGGAACAGGAACACCTTACCCATATCCTTAAAAAGGAAAATGTTTTATTTCTAAAAAAAAGTTCACTTCGATATGGACAAAAATATATGCAGTTTGAGATTACTTCAACATGACCCTTAAAAAAGTTAAATTCAATTTGAAAAAATAAAACATAAATTGAAGTGGATTAAGTTCAACTTTATCTGAACAAATTTAATGCCACCAGAAAAAAATTCAATATAAATTGTAAAAAAAGTTGTTTTATTTGGAAAACTCAATTAATTCTAATATATTCTACATATAAGAATTTTTTTAGGAATGGTCATTGTGATAAATGAAATCACTGCTGATGAGAACTGGCAAGGCAAAAAAAAAATAATAGCTTTACAACAGGAAATTTACTCATACTGCGTGTAAATTTTATTTTACATTTTGTGCTAATCAATGTCTAACATAGACACATATTATCAGTTTATGTGTCCGTTAAAACTAGATAATATTCCAAGATAAGTCAATTAATAGTTTTTTTTTATCTCGGAATTCGACAAATAAAAATAATAAAGAGTTTTATTGTATTTTGTGTGATCTGTTTATTAACATTTTCTCAGCATTTTTTACTTAATCCGTATGGTGAAAGATAACGATATTTAAAAAAAAAAAAATAGGAGGAAGGATGGGAAAAGTATGTGTGTCTGGTAGAATTAGAAAAGGGGAAAGCTGATTCAGGGGAAAAAATTGGAATGGATCAAATGGAAGAATGTTTTGGTGTTGAGGTGTATTTCCATCGGCCGACGATCGATAGACGGCCCCGAGACGCATATTTACCTGAGCCTCTTCACGTTCACGTCGAGGTCGGTTATTTTCTTCCACGGCCCGTTCAGATATCCTCGGCAAATCCTTACCGCCGCCTCGACCACCTCTTTGTCACCTCCTGTCAACATCTGTCGAAACAAAAAAATTTCAATTGGCGCTTGAATAAAAGTAGAAAAAAAATCGAAATGAAAAAAGCGGACGTGGAAGTGCAACGAGGAATTTCCAAAAATAGATTATCCAAGCAATTCGCTAGGCAGGGTCTCGACCTTGATCGACTCCATCCCTACTCGGAATCAATCAATTTTTCTAATTGTTATTTATGGGGCTATTTTTAGATTTTTTTTACTGGATGGCACAATGGTTAGAAAGTCAAAACCTGTTTTCTAAGGAAAAAAAAAAGAGGATTAACGGGAAATGCTTAAAACGAGACAAACATGAATCCTGTCTGATGATTTCTCACCTTTTCTTTTAAACCCATTTTTAGAAAGGCTTTTGAGGAAGATCTGAAGACAAATTTGTAAAGTATTTTTGAAAAACTAAAACGAACTCGAGCGTCTGTAATGCGGAACGTGGTGACCGTCTCTCAAGCGATTAACGACTGTGGAATGGAAACTTCCAAAAGTGGCTTTTTAACGTCGGCTAGAAATCGGGTGACACTGACGCAATCGACTTTTCTCCCCTCCTCGATTTCGAACGCGCCCCCTACAGAAAGCGGCCTCGCGAGGAAAAAATGTAAACTCCGTCTCACGGCTTTTCGACCGAAAAAAAAACTGAAACCCGATATACGAAGGATTCTGTATTTCTGTCGCACCGTCGATTGACTAACAAAGAGAAAATGCACGATTGGGATCGTTATGACTCAACAACCGCCAACGTACAATAACTTTTTACTATTTAATTTAAAAACGATTCCGCCTTAGGCTTGTAATAAACCGAACAAACAGAAAAAATCGTCTTACAGCAAAATACAAAACGTTAAACTACTAAGTACTAACTGTCCAAAGTCCATCGACTGTCACGCCAAAATAAACAGATAAGGCGCTGCGTTGTAGTGCGTGGAGGTTGCGTTCTACCAGGTTACAAACGTTCAATGAAACTTCCATCAACTTTTCAATTTGACTAATTTATCGAATGGCGAAGATTTTCACGCCGACGAACCAGATTCGGTTGACGAACGTGGCCGTCGTCCGGATGAAAAAGGCCGGAAAACGATTCGAGATCGCCTGCTACAAGAACAAAGTCCTCTCCTGGAGGACCAACGTGTGAGTAAATACGTTTTGACGGAGATCCTTGGTTCGGAAACGTGCTTATTGACTTTAATGGACCTCACTTAAAAGTGAAATACGATTTTGAACCGTTGTCAATTTTTGGTGATTCGTCTTGGGTTCTTTATTTGAAAACAGCGTCATCGTTTGTCTTTGCACCAGCTCCTGCAATCTGTGTCTTTGTACCTCCTTACACAAAAGAAGCATTTCGACAATTGTCGAAATTCATGCGACCTTTGATCTTCAAAATGCTCAATAACGACACTGGTATACAATTCACTAACAATTTTAACAGAATTTGATAGGACCTGTACTTCATTTTAACGAAAATAAAACATTTTTGTTATATTTTCGGCGTCAAAATACCTTTGTGTCATAATTGTAATTACAATACTTAAACGTACACAGTAGTTTGGTCATTGTCGATCATTTTGGTCCACCCATACTTGCTTTTGAACTCCAACATTTACTGAAACCATTGAAGATGGCAAAAAGCTTAGATCGCCCATACATATTGTCATCTGACGGAGAGGTTTCTGATAAACCAGAACGTGAGTAACAACTATTTATGGAAACTTGCTCAGGTATCAAGACCTGTTCAGGTAACCTAGTCGATTTTTCAACTTGCACAGTTGCTTACACTAGTGTGTGTGTCTCATCAGGTTTCAGTTTGTATGAAGGTAGACACATGCATTTATTTTGTCTTCTATATGTTTCTGGAATAATATGGTCAAGAGCTTGAGGTGATACTTAAATTGAATATTTGAGGCATTCAAAAATCACCGTGTTGAGAGGAATCTCAAGGTAGCAGTTAGCCTTTCGTGCGGAGATATAGCAGTTTCATAAGGGTCTTTTTTTAATAAACGTAGACATCAGAGAAAGCAAATATTGGCACAGCATTTATCCGCAAGTAATTATGGTATTCTGTTTGTTCACACTCAATTCTTGTAATAAGTTGATGTGAGTGTAATGATTTACTTTCAACAACTGATTTTTACACGATGTTTTACATGGTTTCCTTATTTTTTATTCTTAGCAAAAAATGAAGCGAAGAAGCTATGACCAATGAAGGACCATCATTACCAGTGCAGGTTCTGCGCTTTGCCTGTTTGCCCACAGATTCACCATCCAGGCAAACCGCATTGTTTATACATGTCTGATAGATCAGAACAGCAAGACTAAGCTGAGCAAAATATACAGAAACAACCAAACTATAGGCTAATCATACCACAGACCATCAACATTGAGGCCCTGATACAAAAGCTGAATCATTAAAAAAGTAGCAATTCATGCTGTGATACCTCTTTACATATCAGTATCAAAAAGTGGGCTCAGACATGCAAAAACATAGTGTAACTATGTATAACTGCAACATAGTATCATATGAGCTTTACATTAGTTGTTGGTTTTATAGTGTCACATAAAGGCAAGTACCACAGTGGTATTGCACATCCTCCTAGCATGTCCGGATGTAACATTGTAACAGCGCTTTAGTTTTAAATGTGTTACAATTATCCATTATACATGGCAATTTTCGATCCTTTTTTCCTGCACATTACACTATTTAAAACACATTTTCAAGAAGAACTTATGGATCAAACCAGTGTCAATACCCTGTTGCACATATGCTGTAATTGTCATGTCCAGTTCCACTACAATTTGCTGTTGTCTGTACTCAACTTAAGATGTTTGATCAGAAGCATTTCGGCAGGAGAGTTATTATTTACATAAACATTTTTAACTGGTGGATTAACAGGGTGTCAGTGGCCGCATCAGTTAGAGCGTTGACTCGGCGACTCATCATTTGAAGGATCCTGGGTTAAAATCTAATAAGGGGTTAGTTAATAAAATCCTGTGGAAATACCCCCCCCCCCAAAAAAAAAAAAAAAAAAAAAAAAAACAGGCGGATTGTAAGAGTTCAGCTCATCTTTATGAATGCTCAGAATAGTTAAATAATAGGAATAATTGTCTTCATCACCCGTGGAATCATTCCACTATCCAATTTGACTTTAATGATACATCTTCCTGATTTTGAGCACTGAAATGTTTTTTTCATTGCCATGTTTATGCTTGGAAATCTGGCTATTGGACATATTACACCTTGCATACATTCCACTAGTTTTTTAACCATGTTTTGCTTAGCGCAACTGCCAGAACATCCTCGTCTAGTCCCTTATTGTTACTTGTTTTAAATGGGTATGTTGTCCTTTTGTCCTTCATCTTCATCATTGGTCACTAGCTAAATCTTTTACCAAAAATTTACATTGTATAGATTATCATAATCATAAAACAAATGTTTATGAAAGATTAACAATTTTTATTTATCCAGTGGGACTGTTATTTTTCTTGCTGTAAAAGGTCAATTTTTCATTTTAAAAATTAGGCTTTCAGTGTTTGGTTTAATATTTGACATTTCCTTTCCCCTTGCTCTTCAGACAACTAGTGTTTACTTTTATTGTTTAATTGACAATCTCAGTTTTCAATCACAGGGTTCCAAATATTAATACATTGACATAAAAGTACTGGTCCATTGGAACCGCATAGGCCGATTGGGTAGGGCGTCTGACTTGTATTGAATAGAATAGAATAGAACCACGTATTTTTAAATATTTTAAAATGGTTTGACCCCCTCGTCCATGACATCCAATGGGTAGTCGGACATCAAACCCTTCTGTATGGCAGGAATTACTTAACTTAGTGCTTTATTAAAAGTACATTGAGTCTCAAACCACAAACAACTCTTTTTAGTAATTGTTTCATCTTCATAGTCTCATTTTTCTTTAAATACTCATGACATTTTGTCAACGTATTATTCGTCTAAATGTGTATATATAAATGGAATGAAGCGGCAAACCCTGCCAAGAAATATTAATGATTGGATATCTCATTACAAGTTTCATATAAATATAACATAATTTATCAATGAATTGCATACCCTTTTTTTTTTACAGTTTACCGAATTTTCTTTCTTTCTTTAATTTTTTTTCACTTGTTAACATAACATTCCATAAAGCTCGGAGACTAAAAGAAAAAAAGTTAATTAATTTGAAAAGGGAAAAATAATTAATGTAAAATGATCGTGTGTAAGTATTTTGTTGAAGAAAAATGAACTCTGACGTAAAATAAATTATTCACTTTTATCTTATCAAGTAAATGTTTTTTTTGTTTTTTTTTAATGAAAGTTTATTAGGTTAAATACCTTAGCTTCATATAGAAATATTAGGAAAAGATAAAAATATTGATTCGACATAATAAATATTGAACTAACTATTCATAAACATTATTTGCTAAGCGTAAGCAAAGTATTTGTCATATCCATTGAAAGTGTGAAATGTTTATTATTTTATTTTTTATTTTTTACTGACGAAACATTTTTATTTGTAAATTATGGTCTGGCAGTATGAATAGATATCTGAAGAATGATGTTTCATCACTCGTAACAAATTAATAAAAACAGACTAATTCTGGGGTGTGCAATACATTTGTTTTGTTGACTTAAAGAGCTCGAGTAAACTTTAACTTTTTCTTGATATATAAAAATTATCTGAAAATCTAATCTAGAGAAACCTAAAGAAGAAAAAAGAAATTGGCTTGATTTTTACAAATAATTAATCTGACCTACCTATTAAAAATTTGTTGTGCATTTGTTTTTATATCTTTGTCATATCCTTGAATATAATGAACTGGTCTATTTCTAGTTGTTTGCTCGCTGTATTGAATTAAAAGTGAGAGCTGATTATTTTAATTTGACTTTGACAAATCTGAAACTTTTTTGATAAATAAAATATCATATTTCAATGAAACTAAAATATAACTCTTCATTTAAAAATGATAACAAACATTTCATGATAATAAGTGAATTGTGACCTATTTAGGGTGTGGCAATGTAAACAGATAATTGTACCCTACCAAAAAAATCACGTTAAAAAATTGTTCACTTTAAATTTTATCTAATTGGACTATTTGGAATTGAAAATCAATGCAAAAATCCAATGCCATTGATACAGTGATTATTTTATATTTATCCTAAAAATCGCGACACAGGCTTGTTGTCGATGCAGCATATGAATTTCTATACTGCTAATAAAAAGACTGAAAGACATATCAATTGTCCCAATTGCAACTTGAATTTTGTTACAGTTTCTTTCATTATTATTCTTGTTTTTATAGAGAGAAGGACATCGATGAAGTTCTACAAACACATACAGTATTTACAAATGTGTCTAAAGGTCAGGTTGCCAAGAAGGAAGACTTGATCAAAGCATTCGGAAAAGATGAGCCGACTGAAATTTGCAAAATAATTCTTCAGAAAGGAGAACTTCAGGTGTCGGACAAAGAGAGGCAGAACCAACTGGATTCGCTTTTCAAAGATATAGCGACAAATGTAGCAGGTGTCCACTTAGCTATTAACCTTCTTTATTCATCCTTATTGTCTCACTAACTTATTTAATACGGTGCTATGTTTGTCCATTTTGGTTGCCCACGGTGAAACCCAATTTATCATGTAAAATAGCTTAAAAATAATGTTAATAATTTTAAAAAATTACATTTAACTAAGTGGTATAAATTAAATGATGCAACAATTGCATCTCCTGCAGCGCTAAGTAATGAAGTAGGCAACCCAAAGAACATTTATTCAATTTGGATGTGTGAATAAAAGTCATTTCAACTTTCTACATTAATTTTTCCTTAATTTTACATAATCATGCAAAATGAGGAAATAATTGAAATAACAAAACACTTATACAGAAAAGAAAATTATGTGGTTTTCACAGATCAAATTTAAAAAAAAATCACTTAGCTGGAAAAAAAAAATTGAAATGTCTGTAGACAGTTACACTTTTGCCATTTCTGAGGTGGCCTTAGGAATTTCGAATGGAATTGGAGGGGAGTTTAAGAAGTATAAATGGGTGGACGCAGAGACCGTGCGTCCTCGCACTCAGAAGGACAGTTGTCATGACGCACATATATCTTATTCAGTCAATAAGTTGACCATTTCATTACTAAAGTTTCAACAAACCTGGCATATTTACTTTGGTTTTGGGACGGATACTTCGATACTTACTCCCTAAACTTTAAAAAAATTCTGTAAAAAAAATTGTTGGTAGCAAAATTGTTCTAAATAAAGTTATACTAATTAGATGAGATAAAAATCCAGTAGATTTTTGTTTGTTGATTGATATTTATATTCTAAATTTTCATTTCATTTCATACTTTTGCTTAAGATATTTTAATAGAAAGAAAAGATAATGAGATGTCAATTTTTTTTAAAAGTAATTAATTAATTTTTTTAACAGAGAAATGCATTAATCCTGAGTCAAAACGACCTTATCCAGTCTCAATGATTGAAAAGGCAATGAAAGACATACATTTTTCAATTAAGCCAAATAGAAATGCCAAACAACAGGTAAATGTCACGATACTCTTTTAAAAAGTAAGTTTCTATTTTTAAACGAATTTGTTCCTTAAGACACTAGATGTTATACCACAATTGAAAGCTGTCATGCCTTTGGAAAGAGCACAGATGAGGTTGAGAGTGGCATTTTCAGGCAAAGAATCGAGAAAGCTCAGAACTCAGTTGGTCAAGTTGACGACATCCGTAGAAACTGAAAATTGGAACTCTGAAGGCGAACTTGAATTGGTATTAGAATTGTATTTAACAGCATAAACAAATAAATTCACTAGCGCTTTCTGTAATTTTTAATTATTTTTAGGTTTGTTTAATCGATCCAGGAAGATACCGAGAAGTAGATGAGTTAATACATTCTGTCAAAAATTCAAATGGGCTGTTAGAATTGTTGAATTTGAAAGAAATAACAGAAGGAGAAGAGTTACTTGAATAAATTTTAATTGTTATTTTCTATGTTTCCTATTTTGGACTTATATATTTTTTCCTTATAAATATCTTATTACATCCTTCAAAAATTGAAATTCGAAGGTTCAGTAATCTTATCTAGATTGAAGGATTTTTTAAAAGAATAGTTAATTAACACAGCCCTGTTAATATTATGATACTATTTTATCAAAAGATTTTTTTTGAACAACTGTTATAAATTATGTTAATTGGTTAATAAATAACTTGTTGGAAGTATTTTTTTTGTTATAATGAAAATTGAAAAATTTGTTCAAGAAACATATAAATAAAATATTTTGTGCATATAAAATTTGCCCCTTTTAAATCAACCTAATATTAAATTAATTTACTATTTAAATTTCAACAATTAACCTTAAACAAGCCAAAGTATGTAACATGTTAAATGTGGATTTTCTCATATCCTCATCTGCCAGAAATGTTTCGGTTTTACATTTGAAGATGGAAAAAGACCAAATTTGACAGTACAAACCAGTATTGGTAGACTAGAATGAAAAGAGCCACCGCCAAAACAAAATATATATTTAATGTCAAATTATCTCTGTACCCGAGCAGTGCAAGCCATTAACTTCGAATCCTGTAAAGTGCATAAGTTACACTTTCCCACAGATGCACGGCACATGTAGACAATATATGTAGAAACTTGTAAGCAGCATAAAAGTAGTGTAATCATAAATTTATAAGTTTTAATAAAAATTAATTAATTATGATGGTACGAAAGAAAATTCACCAAAACACCGAAAAATCATTTAATGGTAGATCAAAATTTAACTAACAATTTATTAATGTTCCATTGTTTTGGTGAATTTTCTTTCAAACCATCATAATTAAATATTTCTTATTAAAAATCATGAATTTCTATTTCATTAAATTTGATTTGAATTAATTGAACATTAAAATAAGTGTGTTGTAATTAATATAACTATAAAAATACTTTGAATAAGCAACAAAATATGAGAGTCCAGTTTGTTTATCTGTGAGAATTTAACAAAAAAACAATGATTCTTTCACATAATCTCAGAAATCTGTGTGCTTTATAGTACTGAGGGTATTAGTGGAGTAAACTTGTGGCATTGGTGGCCTAACAGTTTAGGAGTTGACATGGCATTCATCTCTATAAGGATAAAAAAAAATTTTTTTTAAATGCAGGTCTGGTGGATTCATTTTTAAAACTGGATTTTGTTTTTGTTTTTCTAAAATACCCTGAGGGGTCCTATAATATAGTTGAAATACCAATAAACAAAAATGATTCAGGAAAAGAAAAAATCTGCTGACTTGTATTAAACAGTAAACAATGCTTGAAATTGTATCACATTGGAAAACGTATATAAAGACATTAATTTTGAAAGAGTTAAATAAAAAAACTAACTATTACAAAATTAAAATCTGTCTGCACATTGTGTTGTAAAGTGTACCAGACCTAGTGACACAAAGACAAAAAGTAAATATGCTTTCTACAAGATTGCAATATTTTTTGTGCCATTCTTGTCGATCTTAAAGGTGCTTAACAAGTTTTTAAAACCGTTTCATAACAATGGACATTTGATGGAAATCCATGATAGCTTTTAAAATGCTGTTAAGATATGTAGGATGTGGAAAAAAAGAAGATTGTCTCTATTGTCTACTCTGAAGATGATCTCAATAAAGATCGATATGTTGGCACGATAAAGAAAATGTGTTTTAAAACCTACGTCCACCAGGCCACATTTCACGATCTCCAAATAATCGTTAATAATGTTGGCATAGAAAATCAACTCTCATAAAAATCATGATTGCTGTAAAAAGAGTACATCCAGAAGTATAGACAAAATTAATTAAACTGCCCAATTATCACTACAAATAAAAATTCATCACTCAGCTCAGATAAGCAATAAAAAATTTATTGGATTATTCAATGGTGTGAAGTGCAATCATTGGTGGGTATCATTGCGCAATATGAAATTTTTGTATGAACTGGTTATAATAAAGTTATATTAAGTAACTTAATATGTAATAATATATATATTAAGTTTTGCTAAGTAAATATACACAATGGAAATCCAAAAAAGATCTAATATGTTCAATATGCAACTTTTCCTCAATGGAAAAAAACCTATGTATAACAATATGCTGAACCAGACTTCCTCACTAGTACTCCAATGACCCTAACTTAGATTAGCTTATTACTAATGTGTGTAGTTTTGTGGATGAATATCAAGTACTACACCGACAACGAAAAGTGAAACAGGTGTGAATGTATTTATTTGTGCGATTGTATTCTGTGTGTTAGTTTAAGCTAATTATATTTTGCATGTGTTCTGGGCTGAAATGTCCTATCTAAAGCCCCTGGAGCCCAACTCCGTTGGTCAGGTGCGAAGAAGACCCCCCCAGCAGCTCGAGGTAGTCGTAGTGACTCAGTGCATAACGGGGTAGGTGAATTCCCGTGAAGTATAGACCCTAGGTTTACCTTTCAGGGTTAAAGTCCAAAGTTTAATAAATAATTCATATTTTAGAGAATACATTATTGTCTTGACATGTGGGAGCTTCTCTGCTGAATTGACCCACCAACGCTGCCACCTTCTTTTAATCGTTAATATTATTTTGCATTTCTTATTATATGTTTTATTATGTTTATAAAACTAAAATTACTTCTAAGATTTTTTCCTTGTAAGGGTGCTTTAAGCCCTATTTGTACCATTAAAATAAATGAAAGTTTGAAATCGTAATATTTACCCGCGCGGAGATGTACAATTTGATTTTTTTAAATAATGAGTTAAAATTTTATTTACCTGGCAAACAAAAAACGTAATTGGGATTAAAATGATGATTCATTTTTAATCCAAAAAGGGTAATAATAAAGAAATAGTTTTCGTCACAGAAAATAGTCAATGCCGATGCCGGCTAGGAAGGTTCATACTTCAGGTTCAGAAGGGTTGATAAGCATAAGGTAATTTTGCTGTCATCGCTTTAGGTAATCTTGTAGTGATTCCTTTTGTTTTTCTTTTCTTATATTTCAAACTGATCTTACATTTAAAATATAATTTGATTTATCCAGTTGTCGCACGCCTTATCATGGTAGTTCGACAGTACAACGAGGAACTCCAGTACCTGGAGAAAATCACTCCTGTAAGCTGGAGGATCAAAAAGGGGTTCCAGCCAAATATGAACGTGAGTATAGCTTAAAAAAATTGTGATAAATTGTTTTATTTGCTTTAATGGATTAATTTGTTTAGAATTGTCTTATCTATTGTACATATTGTTTCTGTATTATCACTGTTTTCTTTGTTTTTTTCCACTGTATAACTTTTTCTTACTGGTGTGTATCTGCGAATTGGATTCAAGCAGATGCCAGATTATTTTTCATAAACATACACTCTTGACTAATTTTTGAACACGAGATTTGAGAAAAAAGTCAATGTTACGGATGGGAATTGAACCTATGGTCTTAGAAACGGTACTCGACGATCTTAACCTCCTGAGCCACATAGTATTTGTGCAATTACATTTTTATTGTCCGTATTATACATTGGGACATCATATAGATACATGGTTGAATTTATACCACTAATTTACAGAGTCGAACATTTACAATCTGCGCTATTCTGCTTTTTAGCATTGATTCTATCTGCATCAGGTTTTATCAATTCCTCACTGTTTCAGGATGTCATTGCTTCAAATACTCCTGCAATATCCAAGAAGGTTCCTAATGCTTTTTCTTGGTTTTTCAGTGAATCTTCTATTTGTTTGTATCGTTATTTGGTATGGCTGATTCACAGAATTTTCCTTTCTAGTATTCATGTTGATATTTATAAAGGGGGTTTTTCTTTTAGAGAGCTGCCCCTTACATGCTTTTCAAATAGCCTTTCGAGTGTTTTGAGCAGAAAGTGTTAAGACTGAGGGATGGAAACTGCAGCATTGACCAAGAATGACTGCATTGTTAACGCAGGACAATGCAAATGCATAAAATTTAGTCAATTTACTAAAATAGAAAACTTTGGCTAGCAACTTTACGGCACCCTTTTGAGGAAGTGGATAGCATTTCTGATCTTGGTATAATTTTTGGTTTAAATTGTTCTGTCAGAAATTGTGTTATCGATATAACATGTTGAAGAGCTTAGGTTTTATTTAGTTATATGTTAATTATTAATTTTTATTGCCAATTTTTATGCGAAGATGGTTCAGAAGAAAATTAGTACCACAAGCAGGACTCGAACCCACAACCTTCGGCTGTCGTGTCAGGCTTAGGGGCTAACTAAGGTTTTATGCTGAACAGGCATAGGGCCACTTATTGGGCCCATCTTCACTCCCGTGTTTGTTGAATTAATCAAATGTGATTCGACATTGCGCCATTTTAAGTGAGGAGCTTCTCCAGTGAAGCCGGATCCAACGCTATCAAAAGCGTCTGCTACATCTAAGAATGCATCCAAGCAATACTCTGTTCTCTAGCTATAGATAAATTATACTGTATAAATAAAATGGAGACATAAATTCAAAAAACAGAAAACTGACCTAAATAAATCCGAAAACCACAAGGTTAACAAGTTATAGATAGATGTACAAGGACAATTTTACTGACCCAATTGTAAATTGATACTAATAGTACAGATAAATTATCGAAGAGAGGAAATACTTTTGTTCCTAGGAATTATTGTTTTGAGTTTGTCTCTTAGGAATTTTGTAAATTTGTTATGCACAGGAATATAATATACAATATATAGATGCAAAGAACACATTTTATTTACATAAATTTTTTATTTCCTCATTTTTTCTCTTTTCTTTTACTGGAATTTGCAATGGCAGAGGCCTCTCAACCCTCTATCAATCTCAGGGTTCCGTGTTTAAAAAAAAGAAGCTCATTTGTATGTTGAACACCTAACAGGGATGAGTCGCTGTTTCAACACCTTAACTGTTGCGGTCATCGATGCCCCTGAATTTGTTATTCCCAAAAAATGTGCAATTTTTTTTTTTTTTAATAAAAATATTAGGCGCAAACTTATTTCTCATGTGCTTGTTACAGGTTGAAGGTATTTTTTATGTTAACAATCATCTTGAAAAGTTAATGTTGGACGAGTTAAAAAATGCCTGCAGACCAGGAATGGTCGGTGGGTTTCTTCCGGGAGTAAAACAGATCGCAAATGTTGCCGCCCTTCCTGGAATAGTGGGGAGGTCTGTTGGCCTCCCAGATGTGCATGCTGGTTATGGATTTGCCATCGGTATGCGACAGTATTATTTTACTTATAATAACGAATTTGAATATTGAAATAAAACAATTACTTTCAGAACAAATTTTTAACAGTTGTCTAATTTTTTAAGGAAATATGGCCGCATTTGATATGAACGATCCTAAGTCTATAGTTTCTCCTGGCGGTGTAGGCTTTGATATAAATTGTGGTGTGAGATTGCTCAGAACAAATCTCTCAGAAAAAGATGTTGCACCAGTAAAGGTAAATAGTTTCATTTTTTCATCAAATTGATATTTTATTAAAGAAATTCATTTTTTTAGGAACAATTAGCTCAGAGCCTGTTCGACCACATACCAGTAGGAGTAGGGTCAAAAGGTATTATACCGATGACGGCCCGGGATATGGAAGAAGCTCTAGAAATGGGAATGGATTGGTCGTTAAGGGAAGGTACCTACCTTAAGCAATTTTTGACATGATTTTAAAAGTTCAGCAATTTTATAAAATGACGCTTCGCTTTTAGGGTACGTTTGGTCAGAAGATAAAGAACACTGTGAAGAATATGGAAGGATGTTAAATGCTGATCCGAACAAAGTTAGCCTACGTGCCAAAAAAAGAGGACTTCCACAGGTTTTGTTTTATTTGTAATATTTTAATTAACCAAAAATTAATATTGTTTATTAATAAAATATTGAAAAACAATAGAACCTTTAGCCACCATTTGATTTGTCTTTAAAATCCAGTTCAAAGCACTGTTATTGTCTTAAGTATATTGTGTGCCAAAACAATCAAATTTTCTAAATTTAATTTGTTGTGTGTTGACACATTCAATTCTTACTCTTTCACTTCTTGGTTTATTTATTATTTCTCACTCATAAAGCCATAATGATTTCTCCATATAGCAGTCTTTTTATAGCATTTGCATTAATTTTTAGCTGGGAACTTTAGGTGCTGGTAATCATTACGCTGAAATTCAAGTCGTTGATGAGATTTATGATAAGTGGGCCGCAAGTAAAATGGGAATCGAATTTAAGGGTCAAATTTGTGTGATGATTCACTCCGGTTCGAGAGGGTTTGGCCACCAAGTTGCAACAGGTTCGTTGTACTTAAATATATTTTAATTTCTATCACATTAATAACAATAAAAAACCAACAGATGCCCTTGTTGCCATGGAGAAAGCCATGAAACGAGATCAGATAGAAACTAATGATCGACAGCTGGCCTGTGCGAGAATAAATTCTCCTGAAGGCCAGGATTATCTAAAAGGAATGGCAGCCGCAGCTAATTTCGCTTGGGTGAATCGCAGCTCGATGACATTTCTCAGCAGACAAGTAAGCTTTAAACGATTATCATTTATTTGATTTATTTCAATTCTATTATTATTATTTTTACAGGCATTTGCAAAGCAGTTTAACACTGTACCTGATGATTTGGACATGCACGTCATTTATGACGTTTCTCACAACATTGCAAAAATTGAAGAGCATGTTGTTGATGGGAAATTAAAAACCCTACTTGTACATAGGAAGGTTTGCACTCCATTTTCATGTATTATATTCAATAAAGTCTGATTTTTTAAAAATATAATTGATGTAAAAAAAATTATGTTGTTTTTAGGGTTCGACTAGAGCCTTTCCTCCTCATCATCCATTGATACCTGTTGACTATCAACTCACAGGTCAACCAGTTCTCATTGGTGGAACAATGGGCACATGCAGTTATGTACTTACAGGAACTGAAACAGGTTTGTATAAACAAAAAATATATTTTTTAAATAAAAAAATAAATAATTTTTTTTTCAAGGTATGAAGGAAACATTTGGATCAACATGTCATGGCGCCGGGCGAGCTCTCTCAAGGGCAAAATCAAGACGGAATCTCGATTATACTGACGTTCTCATGGCATTAGAACAGAAAGGAATTTCAATTAGAGTCGCTTCCCCAAAGTTAGTTATGGAAGAAGCGCCAGAATCTTATAAAAATGTAACTGATGTCGTCGATACATGCCATGCTGCAGGAATTAGCAATAAAGCGATTAAGCTCAGACCTATCGCTGTCATCAAAGGTTAAAAAAATAAATGGACAACGATATAATGAATCTGACATTCAAACTATACTCAAAAGTGATATAATTACTAACAAACTATAAAAAACAGAAGCGTTGTACATAATAAACATTATGTATTTTATTATTGTTTCTAGTTTTTTGTACAAAATTATATTTCCTCAGTCAAATTTGAGTTTCCTTTATTAACATAAAGAATAGCTAAAGCTAAATTGTTGAAACTAATGAAAAATGGGTTCTTATATTTATTTTTTATATATATCTTTGTAACAATTTAATACAATTTCTTATGGTCTTTATGGATTTTTTTATAAAATAAACAATTAACATCTCAGTCTTGTCTAATCTGTATAGTAATTAACTTAATTTTATTTACTTCCTGTTTATAGAACTTGCAAACACAGGGAGAAGTGAATAAAAATTTTTTCCAAATAAAAAATTGAGAATTGCTACCGACATCTTCCGTTTTTTTAATAATTTTTTATTGTGTGATTGTACTCGTTAAATCTTATGGAATCTACAAGTGTTTCTATGGTATTTCCTTAGATTTTAAAAAATATCTTTTTATTCGCTTACCTGCTCCTTGTCCAAATTCCACCTGTAAGGTTTTCAATGTCCAAAGGAATAATCACTGCACCCGCAATTTCTTCTTGATTTTCAGGTTCATATAAATGCCAGAATTTCTTCAATGGTTATGTAACACTTATCTAACAATTTTTAGGATTGTGGGCAAAACAAAAACACAAAAAATAGCGTGCAGTCTTCGCATACTACAGAAGTACTGACTAAAATATTGGCCAATAGTTATTATTATGCGAAAGACCTGACAATAGGAACAAATGAATTCATTATTAAGTTATAAATAAATGTAGACATGCTTTATGCTAAAGAGGCCATTGAATTGCTTGGTAACCTGAGGCAATATAAGATGAAGGAAATAGTAAAGCAGTGATACTGAGAATAAAATTATTTTTCCACAAATCCCATTGATTCAAACGTGCTCATTAATATGTTCAATGCCGATGATGGTACAGTGGTGTCATGAGTCATAACTGTTTCTTCACCAGGTGGATGACGCCATGGGGGCATCAAACACACTGATAAACATTCTAATGAAATAAATCCTGCAATGATTGTGCTAAACACACGCATAAATGTCAGAACCGATATAGAAATATAATAATAAATAATACAATAAAATAAAAATATTGGATTTGTCATGGCTAAAGCATGGATTTATAGACAATAAAAACCCTGAAATATGCCATATAATATCCACTATAAAATCTTAAATATGCACTAAAACTTCCTCAAATATGATAAATAATGTGCATAATGATTATTCGGAGATCGTGAGATGCGGTCTGCCCCACGCACTCTCAACACGACAGACAAGAATGAGCCCTGAAGATGATCTCAATAAAGATCGAAACGTTGGCACGACAAAGAAAATGTTTTTCTAAAACCTAAGTCACACCAGACTGCATCTCACGATCTCCAAATAATCATTAATCAACGGTCACTAAACACCATACAAAAAATTTGCATAATAAAACTTCAGATATAAACCAAAAGTCCTCAAAATGCTCTAAAAACCTCAAATATGCCATACAATATGCACTAATAAAATCTCAAATAGACAAAAAAAGCCATATAATGTGCATTAAAAAATCCTCAATATATGCACTAAACATTTCAAACGTGTCATTCGATATGCACTAATAAAATCTCAAATAGACAAATAAATAAATCAAAAAAAATGCTCAAATATGCCATATTATAGGTTGTATAATGTGCCCAAAAAATGCTCAAATAATGTGAACTAAAAATATCCATAAATATGCACTAATAAAGCCTCAAATAAGCACTAAAAAATCCTCAAATATGATATGTAATTTGCACTAAAAATATTATTTCTAATTTTTATTAGTTATTCAGATATCGAGAGATGCGGTCGGGTGTGATGTAGGTTTCAGAAAAACATTTTCTTTATCGTGCCAACGTTTTGATCTTTTATTGAGCCCTGAAGATGATCTCAATAAAAGATCGAAACGTTGGCACGATAAAGAAAATGTTTTTCTGAAACCTACATCAACCCGACCGCATCTCACGCTATCTGAATAACTATCGATTAACGGTCACTAATCTCTACACATTTCTAATTTTTATGCAAAGACGGTTTAGAAGAAAAATAGGAAATAATAATAAACAGATAACTAATTAAATAACTAAAAATATTAAAATACAGCTAAAACGCCCTTAAAAATTAATAATAATAATAATAATAATACATGTCATGAATGTCAGAGTTGTCACCCGACAGATTAATACTGTTAACTAATTTTTTTTTTAAAGGAAAGAGGGCAGAAAATTGCAGACACTAAAAAAATCTTATAAGTTCAAATAAATATTTCAGTCATAATATGAATTAAAATATTGACAAAATAATACAACCAAGTTACACAACTCAATTACTTTAAAAAAAGTAAGTTTTCAGTAAAGTCCAAAACTGCACATAGAAGTTTTGGAAAGGCTTAACTAAGACGCTGATTATATCAAGAAAATTTTATTGTGTCTGTCCGCTCATATCTTTTTTCCAGGAAAGTTAACTAAAATCAGAATTATTATTTCCTTTTATGTTGTTAGTGGTATAATTTTTTTTCCAGTAATCACAAAGTTTCACATTTGGAATATTCTTCAAACCTGCAAAATATGCAGAATCCAATTTGAAGTTTAAACCATTGTACCCCACACATCATATCACCATGGTCGTAAGTGTTAGCAAAATGAATATGCAATTGCATACAATTCCAGGCTCTAGCCATGGCTAAGTGGAGATGATGGACCAAACAAGATTCATTTTAAAAGAATAAACAATGAACTAAAAGCATGTAATACTAGAATAGTCCAATTGGAGAGTTAGCTCTAGCAAGATAAAATTGGTAAATCATTACACAACTTTGGGGTGAAATGGGTTAATTTGGGCAGAAACCTACATGGTTTCAGTTCACAAGAGGTGTAATTTTTATGTTGTAATGTTTCATGGAGAATAAAAAAGTTGAATATACATGTAATAAATAGTATAAGTTACAGCATCATTAAGTTGTCTTATCTAAAGTTTACCTGGTAGCAGTCAGCATCAATTTAACTATTTATACACTAGTTAAACAGTTTAGGTCACTGACAAATTAACTAATACACATTTAAGTTGTAAGATGAGGAAATAAAAATAAGGCAGTAACAATTTTTATTTCCCAGATGTCTTTCTGTACATCTTCAAACATTTTAATATAGACGATTTCATCAAATTTACAAGAGCTTATAAAATAAAATATTCACTGCTTTACCTAATTACATTCTACATTGTGATATAAGGTAAAATGTTCTTAGTTTATGTTGAAACAAGTCTGTATGATCAAAACTTATAAAATACATTATAGAAATTCTAAGTTAGCAAAATGACAACACTTCTTTTCTTTTGTGCCATGACTAGAATACACTAATAGCGATTATTTATTAAATTTCCCCTTGTGATAAAGAATTTCTGGTAATTTTTTTTAAATACAAAACTTATAGAAAGAACAGCTTGGGTGATTTGTAGTATTATTAATTAAAAGAAAATAAATATTTGGCTAAAGTACAAACTGCACAAAAATCACATTTATCTAATAAAACTGTACAACAAACACAAAACTAATATGGTGAAATTATTTCTGTTTTTTATACAGAGGTAATTAATTTCTATTTAACAATAAAATAAATAAGCTTAATAAGAACATATCGAGACATGAGAGCTTTGCACATTTTTTAAAAGGTAAGGTTTAAAGTACTAACCTTAGTAGTTAATTTTATACAGTTTTATTGTCTCTAGGGGACAAATTGTGTGTTCTAATGCTGAATAGTATTGGTGAGGTGTAAAACAGCATTATCTACCTCAATGGCTGATTTCATGGGAATATTTAAATTTAAAGAAGAATTAAGCTTCCAGTTAACTGTACCTTGCAAAATGGATGGCTTTGTTGGTTTAGTGAATGGGGTTATGTTTAGAGTAAGGAGAACTGGGGAATGATCAGAGGATAAGTCGTACAAGCATTGGATGGATGTGAAGATGGATCCTGTGTGATAACCAACACCAGGATGGAAGCAGAACTACACTGCCCCGCTGTGAGTGCTTGGCCTTGAAATTTTCCCCAGCCACAAACCTTCATACGAGGGAGCAAAGATGAATTTTAATTTGGGAATATAAAAAGGAACTGATGGGGTACAATGCACTGCTGACAAGATAATGGTTGTGGGGAAAAACAGAGTAGGGACTTCCATTAAAATCACCTGAACCTTTTATATGGAAAACATGTCTGTCGATAGTAGTTAAAAATAGAATAGAAAAAAAACGAATCAGAGTGGTTTCACATGGAAGTCTTCATTGCATAATGAATCGGGATAATTGAAGAAAAGAAGATTTGATATAAATGGAATAACCCCATATGGCCCAGGTAGATGTTAAAACATTCTGAGAAGTGCTAATAGATTAATTTATAAAAAGAATCAAGCTTCTGTATCACAGTCATTTCATGTCACAAAGGGAAAAACATTCATGTAGTTTTGGTATGACCACATAAAAATAAATAAATAGCTACTTTGAACAGTAACGAAATCCCAATGCTATCCATGGGGTTGCGATTTCTTTATGTTCAATTTAAACATGTCTCGATATGCGCCTAGTCGTTTAAGTAGAGTTTGATTCAAACTGTATGCTGCCAAACCTTAATAAAATTAATATAATACATTACAATATAAAATTTAAATAAAAATAAAAGCAATAATTAATTAAGGAAGCACTTTTATTATTTACTTTGCTTTCAAATGATCTTCTGTTGAAGGTTTAGGGCACTGCCAATAATCAGAATTCAGTAATTTTTGAAGAAGAACGGTATTCATCACCATTATCACAGCAAGGGCTAGAAGAAAACATATTATATGATAAAACAAAATTGTATTGAAAATTTCAACTGGTAATCAATTCTTTATTTGACAAAGATGGAATAGGGAGTAGGTGTAGGAGTAAAAGGGCTGAACCATACCTGCCCTTTGGACTAATTCCAACCATTTTCCAAGCTGAGATCCATGCAATACAACACTGTGCACAGGAGTTAATAAAGAAAAGTATGAAAGGTGCACAGATTTAGATACTCTCAGTCAGGTGCTATAAAAGCACTAAATGCATAGGCATTCAACTCCAAACTTGTCTGGCAGTGTCTAATAGCTCTAGGACTAGGTGCACTGGATATTGTGCTTAAGTTGTTAGTGGAAAAATGGTTTGGAAAAATTCAAGCTCTGGAGGACGAATTTGTACTGGACAAAGCACGAGGTATGAGGCAACTAAGAGATTTATAAATTTCTCAAAAGGAAGGCAAAGGAACTCTTAGGAGGCAGGATTTGAGGAAAATTACAGGCCTCTATACTGGCCCTACTACCTAAATATGATAGGCAGACATACCGACTCTATCAGGAGGGACCAGAGACATGGACATGTGAATGTAAAACCTGGTTACAGTAATTAAGCTTAGGCCTCTTCGGTAGGTAATTCTCACACCAAAGGAGATGCATGAAGAGGCATCAATGAAAGTGCTTATTCTAATAGGAAAAAATAACACTTTCCAAGATATGGCTATAATTTATAGAGGTTCCACATATTTCTATACAGGTCTCAGGGAGGAAAGCATTTTTAAATTCCTTTTTCAACCCCAAAACCTAAAAAAAATTTGCTCATGGAACTCTGGCGATGACGAAATTAGACATATATTTTCTTCTGAGAAAGTGTACTACTAAAGAAAAACAGGGTTGGTTGTTGGACATTTCAGCATCTTCGGTCTGTCTGTCTGTCTTAAAACAATTATATATAAAAAAAGATTAGGGATAAGGCAAATTTGAAAGAAAGAAAAACACTCAGTTCTTTGTTCAAGCTTTTGAAGAATGTACCCCCTTCACTAGAACTTTGAAACTATTTCAAATAATTTAAACGCTTGACAAACATAATAAATGGAAATTATGGCTTAAACCATAATAAGTTTATGAGTTTAGTTTTGAAGAGTTGATGGGCTCTTCCACCCATGTAGTCCATTCTCATTATGAATGTCCACATAATCATCACATTCATCAAATAATGCCCTAGGATAGACAGACCAGAATGATCAGTAGCGACCGAATCGCAGCTTCAAAACCCCATAGATCACATGAAATCTTGCAATATATAATACATCTAATGAAAGCCCCTTAACACTAAAAATGGGGGGGGAAAAATTATTATAAGACAGTAGCTGCAGAGAAGCTCTTGTGTATCAAGAGCACTATCTCAGGGTGACCCTCGGAGGAACTGACTTGTAGAAGGGTCGACCTCACCCGATTATGAATATGCCATGTGAGGTTGACACATGGACACCTACTTTTGAGCAAAAGCCGGCATATGTATTCGGGGTGCAACTACTTGGCTCTATATAGAGAGCATGTAGGACTGCCTCCGGATATGAGCATTGAGCTTGCACACTATCTGGGCCCCTTATTCTGATTTTTGGAAGAAACAGGGTTGTTTTATTGAACAAAGTATTGACATTTTTGTGTTTTCTAGTGTGTGTTGAGAGTATTTATAAGTGGGAATGTGTAGTGTGTATTATCAAGTATTTCACCACCCTGGGTGAATGGAATGTAAATAAGTAAGAATGTATTTAAGAGTGTCAGAATGTGAAAAAAATAGGAACTGATTATGTTAGAGACGGAAATGACCTAGAGGTTCAAAGACCTTGCAGCCCAACCCCAGTGGCTGGATGGATAAGACCGAGGTCTGACCCCGGGCTGCCAACGCCCGGGGTGGTGATCCTCATGGCCTTTAATTTATTGTAAATTAAAAAAAAATTGGAATTGCTGGTGGAATGTGAGAAAAGGCTCAACCCTGTACAAGCGTGTGCAGATTTGAACTTATATATATATCAGTAATCTAACAAGTTTTCAACAAATTGATACATCTCAGCACACTGTTGTTGTTTTTAAAAATGAATATATTATGAAAATTGTATTATATACACAATATTATCATAAATTTTTTTTTCCATCAATGGGTAGTCTTTTATAATTCATTGTTTACCTTATTATTTATTACATTCAGTATGTGAAGACTACCAAATGCTTAAAAAAAATCTTTAAAAAATGCGGTAAAAAATATTTAAAAAATCGTACTTATTAGCAATACAAATGAAAGGGGGGCGCGGTAGCCGAGTGGTTAAGGCGTCAGACTCTCGGCTAGTAGATCCCGCGGTCGTGGGTTCGATCCCCACCGTCGCCTCTGGACTTTTCTAATGCCTAAGGGGACCGGTGGCCGCAATTGAAAGAAATTGACACACGGCACTCATCAATGGAAGGGGCGGGATCGAATCTCAGCGACCCTGAATTTGGTCCCAACCCCTTCAAAAAAAAAAAGGGGGGGAAAAAAAGTTTCTTCGATGGAAGAACACCAGAACAACGGGGGCTCAAGTTCACATTTGTGTTGTGAGCCCTCCCCCAAAATATGGAGCCAGGGATAAAGTACAATAAGCTGTACAGCTCAGCTGCAGTGCTCAGGAGGGAACTTCTCTATTCCTTGGTATAAAAGAAAAAAGAAAAAAAAATGAAAACCAAGTTTACTTACATGTCCCAGCAACATAATAAACATAGTTGTGCAAGTCCATTCTGTTATGGATTAACCATCTCGTCATCCAACCTAAAGTAAGAACACGAAAAACTACGAAAGTACCTGGAAAAAAGAACATGTTTTATTAAAAAACAACTATTAATGTTTTATTAGCTAAATTGTTGTTTTAAGTTTAGAATGCTTACCCAGGTTGAATGAATTGTTTATCCTGTAAATGTTGCTGGATTTGCTCCATCCCTGGAGAATCATTAACTGTCTCAAATGTAAAAAAACACTATTCACCTCCAACGACAAGGCCATTAATGTGAAGCCCATATGCCTTTCAGTGATTATTGAGATCGCAAAACATAAAATCACCTACAAAGAGAGCTTATATGGAATAATTCAATATATTTCATTTTAAATTTGGCAATTAAATTTAAAAAATTTAAATAATTTTATACAAATTTAACTTTTAAATTAAATTGTTTAAAATATTTCAGCATTGATTTTTTTTAATGTTTCAATGTGACAACATATTAGGAAAAAAAATCAATCCATTCAATTCTCACAGAATAAATAAATAATACCTAATCAGTCAAAATAAATGCGACTGATTAATGACAACATGTGATCTACATAAAAAACCTATCACGAAAAAAAGATATAAACTGATTAGGAGATAATCACGTGGATTTGATTGATATCGACATAACTTGAGTAAATATAATTTGTTAGCTGTCGTTTAAACTTGAATTTTAATGAAAAAAATTAGCATAAAAAATACGTCTGCATTTTATAACAATATCTTACCATAAAATGGTGAAGCAACATGTCGTACGTTTTGGGCTTAGAACCATTGACTGCCATGTCAATTAGGTCATAAATAAAATATCCTGAAAAAACAAGAATCATTTAGTTTTTCTCCAGAGTGACGAGTCATTGAAATATTTTCTAAAATATTTAATAATAAGTATACAGGAAAAGAAAAACTATGTCAAGGATGGGTTTATCTAATTCAGATTGGATCTTGAGAATCAATGCAAACAAATATAATCAAAATCTGTTAATAGAGCGTGAAAATGATATTTGGTATAGTAACTATTAATTTTCTCTGTTTAATAAACTATTAAATCATGTACATTTTTCAATTCCCTCAATCAATTTTTATTTAATGAGCTGGTGTAACAATAATAAATGTTTTTCTTTATTACGTATGTTCAGTACTCTTTCAAATAAATATAAATTAATATTCTTATATAATGTTTATGTTAAATATTACTTACCAAGTGAAAAAGAAACAAGCAAGTAAGATGGCAATGAAATAGGGTATACAAGGTCTTCACGCATTTTTGGTGTCCACCAGAAACTGCGGAAAAAAAAATTTAAACTAAAGGATACATTTTCTATACAAACTATGAATATATTGTTATTTCCCATTTAAGGAGCAAAGAAAGGTTAAATTATGAAACTATTCACTAACTTTTATAATTACCGGACAGATGAAAGTTAACAATTATTTACATTAATTATACTTTTTATCTAGTCTTGGTTGAGATGTAAAAGCTAGTGTCATGAGCAAGATTCGAACCCACGACCTTTGGCTCAATAAGCCACTGCTCTAACAACTTGAGCTATCGTGACTTTGATCCACTCAGACATCAATTCTTTTTGCCAATTTTTGAAATATCATGTAACCAAGATTCAAATCAGCGGGATCCTTCTTATGACACTAACTTTTTCATCTAAACCAAGACCTCAGATAAAAAGTATAATTAATTTAAATAAATAACACAGTCCATTATGACTACTAAATATATATATATATGTACTAACAATTATAGTTCTTTATAGAAATAATAGAGGTGGGGTATGTCGATTCATTTTTGGCAAAGGATTGTTCTACTCACAAAACTTTATTGAACATGTTAAAAATGTTGTTAAAACTTTGTTGAACAAAGCTTTGTGAGTAGAACCACCCATTATAGCTCTTTTGTATTTATATTATATTATTATTTAATGGTTTGTTTGGCAGGAATTGCCAACATTTGTTTGACATAAGGCTATGTTTCAACACTTGTCACCTGCATGGTTTTAATACAATTTATTAAATTTGACATCACCGTTTCAAATATTATGGAAAATTAAAAGTATAATTTTTTTATTTTTTATTGGCCTTATGATCTTGCATATTAGCCATAGTACGAATTATTGTGTGTTCAAATTGGGGGTTATCGGGAAAAAGAGCCAGAGGCGACGGTGGGAATCGAACCCACGACCGCGGCGTGAGAGTCTCTCATGCTAACCACTCGGCTACCGCGGTCCCCGAAAAGTATAATTTAACAGACATCTTCTAAACAAGCAACTAAATAAATGGACAACAACATAAGTGACTAAAAATAAAAATAAAAAAATGAAAATTCAGTCTGTTAATTAACCATATTGAGCATTTAAAGTTTGCATATCAGGCAACAATGTTCGGTGTATATAAAGTGGCAAATTCTATGAGCAACATTAATGGCTGGAGGACACCTCACTAAACATGTATGTAGTTTTTGCTCAATTAAAAATATTATTTACATTTATACAAAAAGGTTTTCTTCAATAATACAAAAACATTTGCATATATTTTTTGCAATCAACTATAAAAATGTACCCATAAATGGCTTGTATTTATAATTATTTCCTGCTCAACTAAAAGTGTTGTTTTAACAAAATGTTTCTTTTTCTTTTTACTGTAATAAAAAGAGAAAACAATTCAAAGCTAATTTAGCTAATCAAAGCTAACAATTCCTGAAATGTACCCACAAATGGTACTCTAATTATAGTATAATTTTTTCGCGCTCAATTAAATTTGTTTTGATGATTTTTTTCTTTTTCTACAGTAATAAATAAAACTTTAAAAGGAGTCATTTCTGCGATTTATCCACAAATAGAACCAAAACTGAACATCTTTAAACATTTTTTTGTTAAACCTTCATCTTTCACGAATGAGGATTCTGTGGAGATTTGTTTCAAGGCTAACAGAAACCAGTTAAGACAAAATAAGAGGGAGAAAAACTGGAACTTGTTTGACATTGATAACTGATAAATCATTTCCTTAATACATCAGTTAATTTAATTCCTCGTTTTGTTCCCTGTGTATCGTTAATAGCATCGAAACACAATTTAATCAAATTATCATAATTATCATAATCATAAGTATCAATAATAATGAAAAAAAAATGAGCTGATGTGTGTGGCTTTTATTGTGTTGTTTGAAAATCAAAAGATGATTGAATTACAGCGTAATAAATAAACAAAAATTGCAATGTCTACAAGAGCTGAAATATAGCCTTACAAAAGTTGTGGGTGATAAGACAAAATAATATTAATGTAATAAAATTGGCCACATATAAAAACTAAAAAGGAAAAAGGGAAATAGAATATTTATTAGACATAAAACAAAGAAACTTGATTTAAAATTTGGGGGAAAATATGAGGGGCACTGTATATCTTAATAATCAAAAACAACCAACTGAAAGGTGGTGGGCAAATATTTAAACCTTGCGTTCGAGCAGTGCCTCCAAGGAAATGCTATAAGCTAAGCTAGAACAGCTTAGACGAGTGCTGCATGAGGGAAGTATATGTATTGTGTGAACTCTGGATACCCGGCGACCTTCGGTTTAAATTAAAGCCTTCACTTGTCATTATGGGGCTCCATGTTGGGCTTTGGCAGGGGTAACTACTTAGATCCTTAGCTATTTTATGGAACTTATATAGATCCAATTAGTACAACAAAAAACAAAACCAACAGTGACAAAGAAAAGGAACAATTGAAATATCCATCCTCAGCTGCCTGACGGAGGTGACAGAGGGAAAGGACCAGCCGACTCCTAAAGAAACTAAAATGATTTTACAGGAGGAATCTACTCCTGAAGCTGATGTCACCACTCCAGCAACTTGCAAGAGGTCCAAAGAGGCTTCAGCAGAAATAACCTACTAAGATGTCTAGGAGGAAATGCTATATGTGGCTATGACATGGGCACATCAGAGAGGAAGTGGTTCAGCTTTTTTGCCTCTCAGTGTAGTTTTTATTTTATGTATTCATTTATTATTAACTATCAAATTGTATTATGCCAATTTTTGTATCGTATGTTAATGTTTTTTTTGTATTTATTGAAAAAAAGTAACAACTCAACTGACAGAGAGGATGTCCAAGGATATTGTTTTCATTTTGCTTATATCTTTAAATAATATTACCTAAATAAATTTCTATCTAATTTAACCATGTCTAATGGGAAAGTGTAAATTTTCACTTTTATTTTTAGAAAAGAAACCAAGGAAAGTTTTAACACCATTAATCATTAGAAATATAATATACATATGTACGTATAAATATATATGGGGTAGTATGTATTTTTCATATAACTTATGTTAAACAAAGGAAACTAGTAATATAATAAATTCATCAAAATGTGGAAAAGGAGAAAATTAAAAATCTAAAAAATCACGTAGCTCGTTAAAACATAATTTAACAATATATAATAGAAACAAACTGGTAAAAAGAGGAAAAAAAACGAAAAACGGAACCCATCGAAAATTAAATGATCATAAAATGGCAGTATATTATATTTTTAAAATTATTAAATTTATTTAATAAATTTAAATTAAACATATGTTATAAAAAATCATTTTGGCATTGACGTGCAACAAATATCTAATTGACGAATTAGAAATTAATTTGAATGTTTAAACAAAATTTAACCATTTATAATAGAAGCAAACCAGTTATTTAAAAAATATATAAATAAAAAATAAAAAAGCAGGAAAAAGGAACCCAACGAAAATTAATTTACTATAAAATAGACGTATATAATACAAAAATATCTTAAATTTATTTAATAAATTTAAATTAAACATATATTATAAAAAGTTAACTATCGTTTGGCGAAGTCGTGCACTAAAAGCACGCAGACGTGCAACAAATAAATATCTTTATTGACGAATTCGAAATTAATTCGGAAAAAAAACAGGAAAAAAGGAACCCATCGAAAATGAAATGATCATAAAATGCCAGTATAATATATTTAAAAAATAAATTAAATTTATCTAATCTAAATCTATCTAAATTTAAAACAAATGATTATTCGGAGATCGTGAAATGCGGTCTGGTGTGACGTAGGTTTTAGAAAAACATTTTCTTTATCGTACCAACGTTTCGATCTTTATTGAGATCATCTTCAGGGCTCAGTGTTTGTTTTCCGTGTAGGTGTGTCATTCTTGTCTGTCGTGTTGAGAATGCGTTTTGGAAAACATTTTCTTTGTCGTGCCAACGTTTCGATCTTTATTTAAATCATCTTCAGGGCTCAAAGTGTTTGTTTTCCGTGTAGATGTGTCATTCTTGTCTGTCGTGTTGAGAATGCCCTCTCAATAAAGATCAAAACGTTGGCACGATAAAGATAATGTTTTTTTAAAAGCTACGTCACACCAGACCACATCTCCGAATAAATACTAAAAAGATAAATATTTATCGTTTGCCGTAGACATGATCTCAAATTTTCGAATTCGAAATTGCTTTGCATGTTAAAACAAAATTTACCCATTTATGATAGGAACAAACCGGTTATGAAAAAAAAGGAATCTATCGAAAATTAAATTATCATAATATATTTATATAATTTATTTGAAAAAAAAATGAACATAAAAAATTAAATTTTTTATCGTTTGGCATAGACATGATCTAACAGCGTGCAGAGATGCAACAAATATCTTTATTGACGAATTCGAAATTGCTTTGCATGTTAAAACAAAATTTAANTTTTTTTTTTTTTGGCGTTATGAACTATGCATATTAGCCATGTGACAATTTCGTATATGTGTGTTCAAATTCGGGGGGTTATTGGGAAAAAAGGGCCAGGGGCAACGGTGGGAATCGAACCCACGACCGCGGCGTGAGAGTCTCTCATGCTAACCACTCGGCTACCGCGGTCCCCGCTTTGCATGTTAAAACAATATTTAACCATTTATAATAGGAACAAACCGGTTATAAAAAAAAGGAATCAATCGAAAATTAAATTATCATAATATATTTATATAATTTATTTGAAAAAATTAACATAAAAAATTAAATTTTTAGCATAGTCAGGATCTAAAGGACGCAGACGTGCGTTAAATATCTTTATTGACGAATTCGTCAATCAGTTCGACATTCCCATTTGACGTCGTACTGCTGTTCAGAAAATAAGTTTGGATAAAAAAAAAGAAAGACGAGTGTTTGGCAGAGAGCCTTCCCGTCTGATAAAACACCTTAAAACTAAATGATAAAACTTAATGATAAAAAAAAATTGTCATACCACAAGAAGGTGCCGGTGCCGGTGATGAAAGAGTGGATGAGGGAATTGGCCGTGTTCCTCCATTTCCACGCCTTCTTCGGGTGGCCGGTCGCCGAAGCCGGGGCGAACGTCTTCAAAACCCAGTAGTTGTTGATGTAGAAAAACAACGAGCTTAGAATTACGGTCGGGAAGCCGTAATCGCCGCCATCGAAACCGGCCTCCAGCACTCGCTCCGTTACCATTTCACGACTTCAAACGAAAAAAGTCACAGGAACAGGAAAAAATAATAATTCGGCTTCTTCGGTTTCCGGCACCGGCGTAGTGAAGGTTAGTCAGAAAGCCGGCTGTCTCAGTCTTAGTTCATAGCGTGCCGTGCACACGAATGCCGGATTCCTTCCCACGGGCTGTTATTAATAATGGCACTCACGTCACAATCGGTCGACCAACACTATTTACAAAACTTCAAAATATTTCCCTCTAAGAACTACAAAAACAATTACGCTTTTTTAAAAAAAATTACATATTTAATTTAAACATAAATATGATATTTGTTTTAGATATATTTTAAAGGGAATCTTACTTTAGAACGGATTCAGCTGATTTTGACGAGTTTTTTCGAAATGAGTTCATTCAACCTTGCCGAATTGCTTTTAATATAGAAAGAAACAGGCGAAATCATATCACTTTTAGAAAATGTGTCGGAGAGCTTTCAGATGGAAAGACAAAGTCGACAAAAAAAAACAATTTTACTGCATTAAAAGGTTTTAAATAAACGATAGAATGAAATATTTATCGACATCAACAAAATTTAACCGTGTCTGGTAACACTGTCCGCTAGGCTAACCTCGAACACGGCATTCTACCATCGTCAAACGGCTTGTGGGTTCGACGAAAAGTTCGTTTTTGAAACGTTTTACGATTGACGAAAGACAGTTTAGTTTTTTTCTTTATTATTCGTTAAACGGCGAGCCATTTTCCACGTCGTTCGATGACCGACTGATAGAAACTAAAAAGGTACAGTTACGATTTTCGTTTGTATTGCATTAGGTTAATTGCGCACAGTCTCAGCCTCCTAGCTTTAATAAATAAACAGGATCGTAATCAATTTTGTGATCACATCTAAATAAAGCTTTTCTGTTATTAAATTTTAATTCATTTTTGATTTTGAGTGCGCAAACCCTGTTGTACACGTATGGTCGATTCGCACTAATTGTCTTGTTTATGGGTAAAACATGATCAAAAAGACCGACTATTTCTGATAAAAACTTTTTCTTGTTTTAAGCTAAATACTTGTTAAAAAAAGTCAATAGCGTGTTGTCCCTTATTTGTCAACAATTGACCATATCTATCCTCAAAACGGATTTATTTTCCATTAAATACAATTGTTTACTTTATTTCAACATAGCGTAGTTTATGAATGAGTTCATGGTTCTTGTTTTTTAATTTTTAATTAATTTATTTTTTACCTGTTTAAGCTGCGGCGGCAACAATCTCTTTCTATATTCACTCTAAGTGATAAAAGTGAAGTCAGCATAAGCATTTTACTACTTATTCTTATGTAGGGGAAGATAAGGTTTGAGAATTTAATAAACCAGAGGGTATTTTCTTCAACATTTGTTTTAACTCATTCTGCCTTTTAAGTGTACACAAACAACAATAAAATCTTAATCAATCTAATAAGTCAGCCACAACTCTAAATTAGGGATGTGTCTATTAACAATAGGACCCAAATAACGCTTGCCACAATTAGCATCCACAGCATCTCCTGTGCCTTTCCGGTTTCTTCTGTTTTAATGGGTCCTCCTTTTTGGACTCAGACGGTGTGTGGCTGCTTCTGTCCAGATTGACTCCTGGCTTCAACTGTTCACTGCCTAGGGTGTCTCCAGGCCCAATGCCAGTTACAATTAGTTGCAATTTGAAATTGGTTTTTGAGCAAAATATCTGAAGATGGCATTTTGGACATCGTCCAAATTTTTTGCCACTTAGAAAAGTAGCGATTGGAATAAATGGAAATCCAATAGCACAACATCGGTAAGTATAGTGGATGAGACAATACCTCCTACCCCAATTCATCAATTTTTTCCATGGTTCAGTCTTGCATTCTCTTGTTGCAGAATAACACCTTTTCTAATGACAATCGCTGGGCATTTTTCAATTAAAGATTGATTTACTCGATCTAATTGTTCGGAGTGAAGGTCTGCATTCACAGTTTGTCCAGGTTTCAGCACTTCAAAATGAACGACCTCGCTAATACTTCACCAAACACACCAAAGCACCTTTGTTTAAAAACTAAACCACTTGTTTAAAAACTAAAGAGAAATAGAAGCAAACCTTTTAAATTAAAATAATAATAATAGACTAAATTTGGACTATAAAACGTGTAACAAACAAGAATTTCCGCTCCGAGAAAAAACCGAAGTTTTGAGGTATATTGGTTTAATAAGTGTATGACAGTGGTGTGTTGTGGAAGCTAGGACGTCCCTTTGTCAGCCCAGCGTTTTTTGAAGTGTTTTTTGGTGAGGTGAGTTCAACTGGATAATTTTTTTGGACGATTAGACAAGTCTGCTGGGTGCTAGTTTGTAGCTCGCATTCCCTATTGGGAAGTGTTGGGAAGTGTGGGGCCTGAATCTCTCTAGAAACCTGGTTTCAGGGTTGGGCAAGATTTATTTATTTAGTTTTTCTCTTTTTATTTAAACGCCATCTGTTTTTCAATTTTTCAAAATTTCCCAAAATCATTTCAAAGGCCCTCTCGGCCCAGTGGGCCGAGAAGGTTTTCGAAATCGATTACCTCCTCTAAATAGGACTCCCTCTCCTGTTGTTTGTACGTCTGGGGCAAGACATTTTATCATTTGTCGATTGGATAGGAAAGATAATGGCGGCCTTCACTCACTATCGCCAATTAAGATATGTAGAGTAATAAATAGAGAAGTAGGGAAAGTAGTAAACGTCAAAAAAGGCCGTGACGGTTTAATTTATATTGAAGCGTTCAATGAGGAACAAGGGGATAAAATATTGAAAATTAAAAGTATAGAAAATATACCGGTAAAGGTCGAAAGAAATGTTAAATTGAACACCTCAAAAGGTGTAATTTCTTGCTGGGACTTGAAAGAGTGTCCCGATGAAGAACTTCTTGAAGAATTAAAAGGTTCTAATGTTACAAACCTTCATCGATTAAAAAGAAAAGATGGTAGGATATCTTTTTCATGGGTTGTAACTTTCAATACCCCGTGTCCTCCGAAAGAATTGCATGTTGCCTATATGAAGATAGCCGTAAGGCCATTTATTCCTGCTCCCCTTCGATGTTTTAAATGTCTAGATTTCGGACATACAATTTCTTCGTGTAAGAAGAAGGTCTTTATGTGTGGATGTGGGCTGGAAAGGCACGAAAAGGCTGTTCCTTGTCAGTCTCCAGTGTGCATGAATTGTCAAGGCCCACATAACACTTTGGCGCGTCATTGCCCAAAATATAAACGTGAAACTGAAATTTTGGAGCTGAAAATGAAAAATAAAATCACGTTCAATCAGGCAAAGTCCCTAATAGGCTCTGGCCTTATTCAAAAAGGGATTACCTTTGCCGAAAAAGTAAAAATGGGCACGAAAGAAATAGGTTGTCAGACGGAGTCAGAGAACAACACACTGAACGAAATCAAAAATATGTCATCTTGCCTAAAAGAGTCGAAACCAAAAATGGTTGAAACCATGGTCCAATGTTCCCTTATGGATCCCCCTGTCAATGTTTTTGTCCCCATCCTACCTCCCCCTTCCCTTTCACCACTCAACTCTCCTCTCCCTCATTCTGCTTCTCCGATTAATGGAGAACATCGAGCACCTTTGTCCCCAAAAAATCCCCCCAAAATTACGACGCCCCCCAAAAATAAGAGGGGCTGGAAAAAGGGGAGGCCAAGGAAAATAGTTGTAGAAAATCTTAAGTAGTCAGTTTAGCTGACTCCTGTTAGGTAGAAGGTTGAAATTTTAGATTAACATGGAATCAATCATCCAATGGAATGTGAGAGGACTGAAGAATAATTATTGCTTTTTGAAGAGGATCATGGTGGACCATACTCCTTTTATCATTGCTCTTCAGGAGACTCACCTTAAGAAAACGGAATCCTTTACGTTGAGAGGTTACAACGTTTTTTCTAAAGAGGCTGAGGTTTCTGAAGGAGGTAGAGCTCATGGGGGCGTGGCACTCTATATTCGAAATAATATCCCTTCTAGGAAAATTGACTTAGGTACCAATCTCCAGGCAGTAGCAGTTGAAGTGCTTGCTCCGTTAAAATATTCTGTATGTTCAGTGTACTTTCCTAATAACTTTTTTTCAGAAGAAGAAGTAAGAAATTTATTTTCGCAACTTCCGTCCCCTGCAATGATTATGGGTGATTTTAATGCTCACTCCATTACCTGGGGTTGTTCATCAAATAATCGAGGAGGGATTGTCTTGGAAAATATTATTAATGAGGGAAACTGGATAATACTGAATGATGGAGCATACACTCATCTGAATACTTATACCGGGTCAGTTAGTGCAATAGATCTGACGATTGTTTCTCCGTCCCTAGCGACCAATTTTGAATGGAACGTTCTAGAAACGGATGTCCAAAGTGATCACCTCCCCATTAAAATAGAATCTCATATACGTAAAATGGATTTTGAATTTTGTCCTAAATGGAATACCCGCATGGCAGATTGGAATAAATATGCTCAAATTGCCCACCTTCCTAACCTATGTAACAACGTCGACATAGATGTTGCTACGTTTACTGAAAAAATTAAAGCTGCCGCCTCTGAAGCGATTCCAAAAACAGGGAACAGGAAAGTTCGTAACTGGGTTCCGTGGTGGAATAGGGAATGCGAACTTGTCTGTAGGGCAAAAAAAAAGGCCCTAAGACGGCTGCGGAGGTTTCCGACTGATGAAAATTTGTCAAATTTTCGTAAATCCAGAGCCAAAGAAAGAAGAATAATAAAGGAAGCCAAACAAAACTCCCTAAAATATTTAATTTCCAATTTAACACCACGTATGGAATCCTCGGATATATGGAGGAAGATCAGGGCAATTTCGGGCAAAAGAAAACCCCCAATTATGCCAATACTTCGTGCAGAAGACATGGTCATAACAGAACCCTTTCAAATTGCTGAGCGAATAGCTCGTCACTTTGAATCTGTTTCTAATTCCAGCTGGTATTCGGAGCGTTTCAGGCAGATAAAGGAGGAGGAAGAAAGATATGATTTAAATTTTGCAACCGATGAAGAAGAGGTTTGGAACACTCCCCTCACTCTGGCTGAACTGGATCTTGTTCTGAGTTCGGTGAAAGAATCTTCTCCGGGAAGTGATGAAATCACATATTCCATGATTAAAAATCTATCTCCAGAAGGAAAAGTAAAGCTTTTGGAGTTATTTAACGAAATATGGGGTGCGGGATATTATCCTGAAAACTGGAGGGAGTCGGTCGTGATACCCATTGCCAAGCCGGGTAAAGATCCTAGCCTCCCAGAAAATTACAGACCTATTTCTCTAACATCATGTCTCAGCAAGACATTGGAAGCCATAATTAACAAAAGGTTAAATTGGTTTATTGAGAAAAAAGGTCTGTACAGTCCATACCAGGCTGGGTTTAGAAAGCACTTTTGCTCTGAAGATCATGTAGCGCTCCTTGAAAGTGCTATTCAGAACACTTTCTTGGAGAGAGAGCATGCTTTAGCTGTCTTCTTCGACCTGGAAAAAGCATACGATACGACCTGGAGATTTGGTATTCTTAAGAAACTCTATGATTGGGGTTTAAGAGGGAACACAGCTAAATTTTTAAAAAGCTTCCTCGAAATGAGGAGATTCCGGGTGAGATTAGGTACCGCCTTATCTAGTACGTTCATTCAAGAAAACGGGATTCCTCAGGGTTCGGTTCTGAGTGTCACTTTATTTGCCATTGCGGTAAACGGTCTTGCTGATAATATAGATGATCGTATAGTCAGGCCTTTATATGTCGATGATCTTTGCTTTTACTTGTCTGGGAAAAATC